AACTTCCCAATTTTTTCTTTAGTTGGAGAACCTAAATAGCTTTCATTACACCTGGGTATAAAAATAAAGCTATAATACTTCATTCCAGGTTACTTGCCTGGTTTTCTTTGAATTATATACAGAGTTTTGCCTGTGATGGATATAAAATTCTCTAGCTAAGTTGGAGATGCCAGTGTGACCATTTCATACAATTCAATAGAAGTCCTATGAGCTTCATTTAAAATAAAATATGTATATATGTATTTATAATACACATAACTCACATTAGACGCCTGTTGTAGCTGACAGATATTGTGAGGTAGATATAAGTATGGTTTCTGCTGTCTATTTATTCCACTTATTCTTGTTTATATTCAGTTGGCTTCTGATTTTTTTAGACCCTTGCTCATGTGAAAAAGCTGTTGGCTAGCTCTTCCCCTGGATTGTCAGAAGATAAATAGCATATGTTCCTATAGCAAATTAGATCTGTAAACTGATGCATAATTTTAGATAAATTCTTATTTAGTCAGTCATGGCTCTTACTGGGCTGTGGTTTTTTGGGGGCAATTATAAGTATAGCTTTATTAGTAAAAATGCTGGGAAATAGTTCTGACCAGCAGTCATGAGAGAGGACAAATGTGACTGTAATTAAAATGAGAACAAAGGCAGATTTCCTTTTTTTTTCTTTCCATAGTTTCACTTAGCTCTTTGCACAGAAGCTGCATGAATTATGTTACCGGGCTGTCTTGCTCAGGAAGTGGTCAAACCAAATACAGAAATGCCTCTAAAAAGCAAACCCTTCAAACAGAAAGGATAAAATGGCAGACATGGGGATGTATAGGAAGAAGGAAAGAGTCAATTAATTACAGAGGAAGCAGCAGAGTCACAGATAAATGGTAAGGTCTGCAATATTTTCTCCCAGCAGCTGCTGTTAAGAGCTCAAGTGTGTTGCCTGCTTTGCACATCTGAATCTAAGATTGCCTTCAGTCTGAATTTACTTCAAACCAGCTGCCAAAGAGCCAAGAGACAGGGCAGTGGATATCCCTTTCTGTCCCTGAAGGGGCATTCCTGGGCAGAGGCAGTGGGATGCTGCTGGTAACGTCATACAGACACCCACAGAACCATCTCAAGAAGGGCTGATGCTGATTCCAGAAATATGAAGCTCCTCTGACCTGCTGTGGGCCATGATATCATCAGCCTTCAGGGGGAAGGGCTTTAGGGGCACCTGCTGCAGCTGTTGTCTCTAACTTGGTGTCCCATCCCACAAAAACAGGGTATTGTTCCAGAAAGAGCTGGACCTTCCTCCAAAAATACCCAATTCTTACCTGACTCCTTAAACTCACCATCTCTGACACAAAACTGCCAAACTCTCAAAATTCCCCATATGCAACCAAATTCAAAGCACCATCCTTCCTCTGAGGCTGGCTGCTTGGCAAAGAAAGCCCAATGCCCCATCACTTCAGTAGATTTTAATTCCTGCCACCCCTGTAATTGACTCTGGGGCCTCTTCCCTTGGACCCCACCAGACACAGCTGGTCCTCACCTACATGTGGACTAATTGATCTGATTAACTTTGCTGGCCTCTATGATAATTTTGGGATATTTCTTCCAGCCAGCTGCCAATTTTCCCAAGACTTATAGACATTCCCTCACCTGTAGGTGTCCATCTACTTTGATTTTTTTCCCACATGTAGTCAGTGACTCAGGAGAGATGCTGACAGCTGGATGATATAAATGCATGAGCCTCATTCCTTAGGAATTTTATGTGGCTAGGCTGGGTGTTACAAGATACATAAAAAATTTGTGTTGTGCCCTGAGCTTTCCCTTTAGCCTGACTCTGAGCTGGCCCTGTGCTGTGAAGAAGAAGAGCCTCTCCTAGCTGACCCTCTGCCTCTCACACTGCCTGGAGAGCAGGAGTGGCCAAGACTTGACCTCTGAAACCCCAGAGTTTTACAAGGATGCTGAGTAACTGCATAGGAATGACTGTTTCTCTGGAAAAAAACCAAAACCAAACCAAAAACCACACTCTCATCATTTCTCCATCCCTCTGAACTTCTGTGAGTCTGTGATTTTTCTGAAAGACTGAAAATTACAGCTTTGTCAGCAAGGGGGAAGCTATGACTGAGGAGAGATGTGCTACATAAAAATCACCCCAAGCTGGCACAGCTTGTTGGCAGCAGCTGGAGTGAGGTGATCTGCAGCTGCTCTCAGCCATGCAAGGGCAGCTGGTCAATGTTCTCCCTGAATACTTCTCCTGACAGCTGGAGATTTTGAAACAAAACAGGGTATGGAGCTGCATGAGCACAAACTGGAGCACAGCACCATGCCAATGATGTCTTTTATGGCAGTGGTCCCTGCCCTCTGCTGGGGGACATAGGTTTCATGGCTCCATCAAGCTAGCAGAAGAAAAATCTGCATTACAAAAACCTTGCTTGCAGTGTTCCTATAAAGAATTCTGATTTTATTCCCACTCCTAAAAATGAATTATTTCAAAAGTGACACAAGTTCTGCATATAAGGGTGACAGGACCACTTAAAGCAGTGGGGATTCAGCAAACCTGGGAGCTGAGAGCCTGGACCTGAGACCCTGAAGGCACAGCAGCTCATCACTGCTCCTTGCTGCCACAGGTGAGGAACCACCAGTTTCACACGGATTTTGTTTGCCTTGACTCAAACTGCTACCAAAGAGCAGGGCTTCACACTTTGGGGAATTCTACCCTTTTCCTCAAGGCCAGGTAATGTGGTCACAACTTAGACATCTGGCCACAGATCTGCAGAGATGTGAGAGATGTGTTCTCTCTACAAACAAGAGGAATGTTGAATTTTGGCAATGGAGTGCCTTGTCTGAGCTCCTTAAGACCAAGCAGAGTGCAGTACTCAGAGGTTGCATGACCTTTTCTTTGACCTACCAAGAAGACAATAGAAAAGAAAGAGAATTTTCCACTTGTCCTAGGTGGTTCCTGTTGATCATCCTCCTCTGTCTTTATAATTCCTTAGGAGACAATCTATTCCTAACCACTGTTGTACATAACTATAGGATACTCACATATCTCATGTACAGCATTAAAATATATTGTACAATTTAGTCTATTTCTATATAGTGTATATAAAAGCTTGTCTTTATGAGATATGGTACCAACAGATAAGAGATAGCAAGGAGAATCTCCTCTAAGATTCTCCTTACAGATGATGTCACCTCTGTAAACATCATCCTGAGGCAATACTCTTTGACATACTAAGAACTACATTGTTTATCTTAATTTGCTTGCTAAATTATGTTTTGTTAATCAAGAAGTTCCTCATGGTGCCTTTCATGATCCCTTGAGGCTGATTCATTGCAGGTATCATTTATTTTGGAATCACTCTCTTAGTCTTGTTGTTTAGTAATTAAATATAAAATGGTATTGGACCTACCTTATTTTTGGTAGACAGTTTCCCATCCTTCCACTGGATCTCTGCACCCTTTGGTAGCCAGTTTTGGTGTGGTTTCCTTGCTGGCTGAATTGTTTTTTGTACTGACTGTTTTACAGAATGAAACTCAGTGGCCAAAGCAGTTTGTTGTCTCACTGTAAGTGGATGAAGCACTCAAATGTTGTGCACCTAAAAAAACCAAAAACCACCCCAAAGCCTCCACTGTAGGCAAACACTAGCAAGAGAGGCTGGGAGAGGAAGAGAGGTGGAATGGATGAGTGATGCAGCTTCCTGGGGTGCTGGGAAGAGCTGGTGGCCTCCACAAAGTGACTGAAGTGTTGCAGAATGGACTCCCTCTAGGTTCTGTAGTCTGATATAGCAACTTATGGTGGTTTTGACAAGAGGAAACCACATGCCTAGCCATCTTGCTCTTCTGAGAAATGCTGTGACAAACTGAATGGTAAAAACCAAACACTTCAAACCACAATGAAGCATAGCATTTGCTACTGAAGCTTTCCAGTGCAGTCTTTTTCTGCTTCTTTGTCTCCTTTTTGTCCTTTTAAAAAAAAAAAATATTTTACTTTTATTTCTTTTTCTTTCTCCCAAGCTACAAGGAAGAAAAACAGAAGAACCAGAAAAATAATTTGAAGGTCTTGTTGGCTGGGGAGGAAGCAAGTTTTAGTTGACACGTTGTAATTGCTGTACATTGCCAGAAAAAAAAAACCAAACTCTTTAAGACTTCAGCTGCCTGCAGGCATTTTATCAAACCTCAGAGGTAAGAAGTGCCAGGCAGTTAACAGAACACTCTAAGAACAAGTGCTGTCCCCTAGGAACGTGTGATTTTGCAGATAGAGGTACACCACCACGGGCTAGGTCTCGCTAAGTAGCCCCCTCCTTTGTTTCTGTTTCTCACTTTGCTAAGCAGTCCAACACCAGATTTCAGCAGCAGGAGCTGTAACTTGCAGCTGACAGCAGGGTGTTAGCAGAGGAAGGGAGTCCATTTGGGGAGATCACATACCTCCAAATCAAACATGATGAGGATAAACAGCCATGTCTGCGTACGAGCTGCCCTGGTGTGCTCTGAACCGAAACACGTGTGCAAAAACAACAATTTGTCTGCAAAAACAAATTGTAACCCTGCCCAAATGAGCACCACAGGTCCTGCAGCATCCCTTGGCTTTGAGCTGCCACGGCCAGAGGCTGCAGCAAATGTTGGTAGATGCTGGTGTCAGCGTTCAGGAACACACAGAATCACAGGATATGATTATCTGCAGGTGCTGTTATTGAGAGCTCTGGGAATCAGGGGTACAGACCCAAATCTGACTCCCACATGGCTTTCGAGCTGAATGCATTTTATATTCTATCATTATATAACTTACATATTAATTATTAAACTTATATTGTTCTATTCTATACACTGACTTTATTCAAGCATGAGTTTCTCGTGATCTTTCTTAGGCCCCTGACCACAGTTTCTCATGATTATTCTTACAATTAAACAGTAATTATATTTAATTACTAAACAATCATCATATCTAACAATTATATCATTTATCATGTACTAGCTACACAGGTGCAGTTCTAGCAAGGTACAAGGCCTACATGTACCCAGAGTATTTTTTTTTTCCAGGGCCTACTAAGCTTAATTTTCCTTTTAACCCTAAATCCCCATGATTTTAAAACCCTTTTACTATCACTGCTACTGTTCTTACCTCAGTGTACTGCAGCTCTCCAAACTCACCTGAGATATAGAGTTATTTTGCCATATGCAGGCACTACTGAAACATGTTATAAAGTTCTAGATCTGCTCAATTACATTTGACAAGCTGTTTCCCAACAGTGCTACCTACAACTAGAGCTGAGGAACCAACCTCCAAAAGTCACTGCGATTCAGAAGTCAATGAAACCCTCTCCACCTGCTTTGTTCTCTTTACAAGAAAATTTTACATTCTCTTTTCAAGGCAATGTCTTGAAAGGTGGCACTGGATCCTTCTGACAAGGTAGGCAGATGTCCAGTTGTTAACCTGGGCTTGCAAGGCTGAAAAAACAGTGGTTTAGCCTGGTAGTTGACAAATCTATGTTTTAAACTATAATTGTGCTGGAGTGACTTCCCTGGGCAACATTTTCTGGAAGTTAAACTATGTGAATTATAAATGGCATTAGTCACTCGGTCTGTGGTGAAATGCTGGCATTTCGTGACTGTGCAATTCTTGTATGTCCCTTTTTTAATTTCCTCAGAACTAAAGAGAGCATCCTAGTGAAACAGAAAGAAAGAAAATAATACAAATCACTGTGCTTTTCAAGCAGTAGATGCAGAACTACTTCTGCCTAATTTATTTGGAGGGATCAGCCAGCATACACAGCTCTTCCTCACCAGGGATGCAGTAACAAATTAAAGCAAACAAATTTTTCCCACTGGCAGAGCCACCTCTGTCCTTTGCCAAGACTGAAAGTTTGCTCTTCATTGAAAAGTGTTTTCTTTAGCAGCTCACAGGTTTTAAGGGTTCTGGAAGATCAGAATGTTTCTGAGAGAAATTAAGTTGTTTAATCTGACAAGAATATCTACCAGTTGGGCATGCAATTCTTCTTAAAATCAAGTGCAGTTCCTTTTGTGATTGCTAAGTAGTGATCTCACATTTTCATCAGGCCAGAATGCTCTTCCAGAAATTTTGCAGTAAAGTGCAACTATGCAAGTAACTCAAGGAAAGGAAAATAAGATATCTCAAAGGAAAAAGACAATAGTATGAAGCAAATGTATTTTTCAGATTTATGGGAATGAATTATTGAACCTACATAAAAGCACATCCAAAATGTTTCTTTAGAGTAATAGTGATACTTGAGCTCTTTCTGTTTTCAGATTAGCTGCCACTAAGGAGAAAAGGAATCATAAATGTGAAAGCATGCTTGAGAATTTTTTGTGTCACGTTCTGTTTTCGGCCTGCTGGCTTGCAACTGATTTGCATAATAATCTGTGTGGCCATTCAACCAAGAGAAAACATTTTATTTGCAATCATAGCCACTCATCAGAAGCCAGAAACTTGAAACACAATTTACCAGTAGAAGGTTGGTTAGCAAATGAGGTCTCATGGTATGGCTGCCCCACTGTGCCATAGGAGAGGCACCCGTGGGCTGAGGGCTTGGCTGGTTTCAGCAGCGATCACAACCCACAGAAAGGGGAACACAGGCAATGTGTTCAATGACAAAGCAAAAAGGCACAAATACAATGACTCAGACAAGTTGTGGGATGTATTTTTATGTCATCTCAGGTGATGGTGGAGGAGGAATTGTGTGCTTGTGGAAGGCAACCCTGTATTTCCAAGAGACAAGGCTGGGGAAGGATCATGGATCTGTGGAGATGGAGGCAATCTCAGTGGAGGAGAGGTGAGATCAAGGCTCTGCTCTTTCCCTGAGACAGCACATGACTTAGGCCCTGAGTCCACCTCTTGGCTTGCTTTGGTCTCCTTAAATTAGAAAAAGAGTTGTGTTACAGAAGCATCAACATATCCTGGGTCTTCACTGATTGACATGATGGATGCAGACCCCTAACTGTGTCCCCTGAGTTACATGTAGGGACATTTGCACTACTCATTGCAGCATGGCCTTTCCTGGAGCTCAGGTCGAGGCCAGGGTGGCCTTTCCTCCTGCAACCCACAGACACTGGGTGCTGAGCCAGTTTCAAAATCTGTGCTTGTATTTAGCTGCTTATGAAAACTCAACCTTATGGACAGAGTGCTTGTGAAAAACCCAGTACTCCTGTCTGCTTAGCAGCACAGCTGGGAAAACCTGAGTTTCTGGCTGTGACATTTTTTGTCATATCCCCTAAAACTCAGTTGTGTCATAGAGGCAGGAGGTTTTTACAAGCCATTTACTGTAGCTTTATGATGGGGAATGTCCCTAGAGTAAGAGCAAAGTGTTTAAGAAAGGGGAAGTGGCACTCAGTGGATCGCTCGCTTGTCTCTGAGCGCACAGCTAAGATGATGATGGTCGCTTGCCTGCTTCTCTTCAGCATCTGGACCACTGCTCCAGGTAACTCTCTTGTCTGTCTGGGTGTCTGTGTCATTATCCTAACAGTGCTAGGGACATCAGTGGCTGTGCCAGCCTCCTTCTGCGCTGCTGGGTGCTGCAGTCCCCACTTGGCACCCTCCTGGGGTAAACCCAGTGATTACATGGCACTTGTGGCACTGTGCTACTTACCTGGGGCTCAGGTGTGTCACTGCTGGTTGCTCTGACAGCATCCACTTCTTAATTTACCACCCGTGCATTTATAAATTCCAGAGAGATGTATAAAGGTATTGCAATGGGCAAATTATAAAGCAGGCAGACCTGCTTGTAGGTATCTGTTCAGACCATCAAAAGCATGGATGTATTACACTGGTTTTGTATTTAAAAATCGTGTAGAAAAGGCTGAATTGGTTTAAAACTAGGTTCCATTATCATGGTTTGTAGTCTGCCTATGGCACTGCTGAGATCTGGAAAGCAAAGTGACTGGCACAGCTTGACAACTGGCTTCTTGGTCTTTGATGGAAATCCACCTGGCCATGGTCACAACCAGAATCTCAGAGTGCTTTCTTGAGTAGGTTAGTCTAGTGTACCTCTGGGCACTGCAGACAACCTCTCCCTGCTCTGCAAAGATATTTCCCTTTCTTGTAAATTGAATTATGTTTTCAGTGCTAAAACTGTTACTACTAATATCTCCCTTCCCATGCTGACATGCAGAAATAAACTTTGAAAATTATTATGCCAAGAGAACTGTGGAGCTGAGCCATCAGCTTCACTGTGCCTGTACCCTTAACAATTTTTTCATGTCTAGAATTGGAAGAGGAGACTGTTTTCTTCCTTTCCTTGAAGACCTTTAATACCATGGCATTTATGCTGTGCAAGTTTTCTGCCCGTGGGCCTTCAGTAGGGTCTCTTCTGCAGCTGTTTCTCAGCAGCATGACTTCAATGCTACCTTGTTTTTTCCTTCTGGTTTTCTGATCCTTGCCAGTCTCTGCCAAGCGTGAATACATGATGTATGTGTAGTGAGATACATAATAATTTTTAGCATTTTCCTGATTTGCTTCACCCCATGCCACAGGAGGGCTAAGAGGGTGGTATTGGGCCAACAGCTGTTTGGTCATCAGCATGGCTGAAAGTTTAGGGAATCTATCTGTGGGTGCCCATGGGACAGCAGTCCTAGCAGACAAATTTCAAACAGATTGACTGAACTGAACACCAGAACTGCCTTTCTCAGTGGTGCTCTCTGCAGAACAGGTATCAGGCTGGCAAAATGCTTGGTGTGAGAGATGGCAGGTCAAGTGAAACTCTCTGGGTAGTTCTTTCAAGCTGCATTTTCAACTTTTTCCTAGATGGAGGGATAGAGAAATCCTCCACAGTTGCACTGCTTGGAAATGAGGGCGAGGGGCTGCGGGGCCTCTGCTGGGGTTGGGCTGCAGAAGAGTGTGAGAAATGCTGAGTGTGGCACTTGCTTCTCCCCCAGCCTCTGTGCAGGTGATGAACAGAAAGGTCCAGTCAGTCCAGGCAGGAGGAAATGTTACTTTTTCATGCCGGTCAGTCACGAAAGAAGATGTGATACAGGTGACATGGCAGAAGGAGACAGCCGGGGCTGAAGACAACATAGCAACTTACAGTACAATAAATGGCCAAAAAATAGCCAAGGCCTATGTCAGCCACGTGAGCTTTGCCCACAGCGAGTTGCAAGCCTCAGCCATCTCCCTTCATGGAGTCACCCTCCAAGATGAAGGATGCTACAAATGCATCTTCAACACATTTCCCTCGGGCGCTGTCACCGGCAGGATGTGTCTCAAGGTTTATGGTAAGGCACTGTAATTGTGTATGGGTGCTCGTCTGAGGACCAAGTCATTTTTCCTGTGAAAAACCTTCCCTAACATTGCTACACTGATATGAGAAAAATGGTTTTCCCTATCTGGTTTTACCAGATGGGAAACCAACATTCAACAGTTCTTTAATTTTTCTTCCCTTTCAAGTCAGCAACAGTGAGATTCAAAACTGACGTGTAACTCATGACTTCCTCTAATTTTCCCTGGCCCTGTGATGTGCTGACAGCTGCCTAGCCACAGCCATGAACCTGTGCTCCTCTTCTTCCTTTCGCTGCTGCTCTCACCTCCTAATCCTGGAAATCAGCCAATTTTTAACTTGCTCTTCATTTGGTTGTAAAAAAAACTGCAAAGTATTCAAAATGTAAAGAGGCACATGCATAATAGCTGGAAGCCCATTTTGAAGCTAGAGTAAAAATAACAGTAGTTGGGGTGGGGTCAGGAAAAGGATTTTATTTTAAAAAATGTAAAAAAAGAAGGCTGAAATACTGTATGGCTCATGGGATTTCACACATGAATATCCTGAGCAGGTCAGCATCAACTATCTTAAAGAAGAGAGTTTAAACAAATCATGAGTCAGTCATGAGGCAATATTTGTCACCTCCATATGAAATAATTAACTAGCAACTGCAACCTGAAATAAAGACTAAAAGATGAACTCAAAGGAGCTAAGAGTAACAATCTGCTCATCTTTTGAGGAAAGCTGCTGGGTTTTGTCCAGCTGAGAAAACTGAGATATTAAACATGCTCTGAGGACACCCTGTTGGCTCCTACCTTTCTCAGGGACTGCTGTGGGGAAACTGGTCAAAGATCACATCCCCTGTGGAGAGTATCTGTGTCCTGTCACTGGTGATATTATCCCTGCAGAGTATTTTGTTTATCCCTAGTACCTTCTACTGATAAAGACACGGACACATACATCCACACACCCCTCTGGAGTCCTCTGTGTGCAGAAAGGGAGCTCCTAACTTATAGGGAAAAGGAAGTGGTGGTGAAAAATACAAGGGAAAAACAAGTCTAGAAAAAACGTTCTTTTTCCCCTCTTTCGGGAAAACTAGGGTAGAAAATAGAAGTGATGAGAAATTCATGCAGTATTTCATATACAAAGAGGAAAGCTCCTAAAGAAATCCACTTCTGAGTCATTCAGAGGGTAAATACTTATTATACATTACAGGAAAATGACTTCCAGAGGGGTCCCATTCTTTTTAATCATATAAATCTAAACACAGAGATTTCTTTCAGGTTTGGGTTTTGGTTTGGTTTTTTTTCCATCCAAGTGTGGGAACTCCTTCCCAAACTCACCAACCTTTTGGCTATGGCTTATCCTTCACCAGAGCACTAATTCTAAAAAAAAAAAGGGATGTTTTTCTGCTGCCACACAAACTTATGGAAGCATCTCTTCCTGCAGCTCAGATGAAAACTCATCAACTGGGAAGGGTTTAATTTCTCTCATAGGCTCACAGGCCACTGCCAGAGGCTGCCTTACTGGGGTCATGGCAGCCTTCCTGTAATGTGCTGTATCAAACCTGCCCTGGAGGGTCACCATGAACAAACTGAGCATTTGGCACTTTGACAGAAAGTTTTAGCTCTTTAGGCAGAAGGTTTAATTATATGGTTATTTCATTGAGGTTTATTTATTCTTAAAAGCCACAGTCTTGTTCATTATACCCCAACTCCTAATGATGGGAACAACTTGTCTGAACGAGCCCAGAGGGTGCCCCATGAGGCACAGTGATGCCAGCAGGAATCTCCCAAGGCTCAGAGTTTCAGGGCAGGGTGAGCAATTCCGAGTCACCAGTTGAAAATTAAACACTGCCATGTCTTTGCCCTCCAGAGGGGACTGCCAGGGAGTTTTTGAGCTGGTAAATTGCCCGGTTACTGCAGCCTTTGCAAGCGGCTGTTCCGGGACAGGACGGGCACCATCGCCCGTGGTGAGGGGAAGTGAAACCACGTAAGAACTGGATACAACACTGTGAATAAAGAAACAGGGATGACTGGAGGGATGTCAGACCCGCTTGGCTGAAAACAGCAAACCCAGGAAGAAGCAGAAATGTCCTACCCTGTAGCAAAATCCATTTTGGAACAGAATAGTTTCAAGCAGGCTTGGTGGGTCTCTTTTCTCTGTTGCCTTTCCCCTTCGTTTTACCTTGGAAATATTTTGCCAAACTTCACTGACAGAGAGGATGAGAATGAAATCCAGGATGAGGATTGAGGGAGAGGTATGGAGATGATGATAGGCAAGACTTGCTGAGTCACAAAATTCCCTGGACATTTGCTGCTCTGTCTTTGGATACCACCTGCCTTCACTGTAGATGGCAACATTTGTCTGGAATTCTTGAGCCCAGCTGGAAAAATGCCATGGCAATGTCTGAGACAGGAAAACCAAGGCACAGTACTGTGGGTGAGCATTCATATGGTTTGAAAAAGCCTTCTGTCATCATGAAGCATAATGTGATTCCTACAATCTTTTATCATTCTCTGTAACACCACTGCTAAGCCTTTAAATATAAACAGCATATAATGACCTGATTCATTATATGCTTTTTATGTTTAAAGGCTTAGCAGTGCCTAATTCCTTCTAACTACAGAAAGCCATTACAGAAGGTCCCTTTTTCAAATATTTGGGAATGCTGACAGAGCCCAAATTTGGGAACATCTGCAGTACTGATCTACAAGAGAGACTAAAGCAAGTACTGGCACACAACATCTCAGGTGAAGACTTTTTCACTGGAAACAAATATTTTGATGGAAGGCCAAAGAAGCAGTTAAGTGTATGCATCAAACATGAACAGCCAGCACATACTAGCAAACGGCACAGCAGTACTTTTCTGCAAAAGCAAGAACTTGCAGGTTTTGACAGTGCATCTATTACAGACATTTGCTAGAGAGAAGCTCAGCCCTAAAGGATCATTCATTGGGGTCCATTGTGAGAAGAGAGAGAAGAGCAGGTGTGGAGTGCAGATGTTTCTGGCAAGTTTTTCTTATCCTCTGTGGTAACATCTGTGTCTTCTCCCTTCTATTGCTTGTGAATTTTGCAAGATAATATTTGAAGTTAATGCTGTGGGTGGATATGTTATTTTTATGCATCCTGCGAGTGAAAGAAGTTCAGAGATCATTTATTAATAGAAACATAAATTGTTTGTGACACTAGTCTTTTCACTGGGAGATTTTGAGATGTTCCAGCTGAAATCCCCCTAAACACTTTCCTTGTTTTTCTCAGAGGTTTCAGCAACTCTGCGGGTGTTGAGTTTTTGTCTCTGGTTGATACAAAAAGTGAGAAGTACAAGTTTATTTTTCCTATGCTTCCACAGCCATCGTAAGTAAATGAGGTCAGGCTTGTAAAAAAATCAAACAACAACAAAAAAAAAAGCAACAAAATTGTTCGTATACGAAGTCTTGCTTCTGGCAGTTATGGCTAGTAAGATACAGACAACCTTTTGAATTGTAGCAGGAGGTTATAGGTGCCATTATGCATCTGGCACATACCTTTTCCCCTTTTCACAGTGTCTGCTACACCTCACAGGCAAGTTTTTGTTTACCTCACAAAAGGAAAACTTGTTTTTCATAAGAAGTATGAAAAGAAGCTTTGTTTGCTCATTTAAAAGCAGGCTTGCTAAATGATAGTGTTGGGATAAAAATTAATTTTGGCATAAATATTGCACTTACCACTGTTATTTTTCTTATGCAAGTAGTAATATACACATGGAGTTCTACTAATTATAGCAGTGGATACTTTTTTAAACAGAGGGCATTCATGGTAATTCAGACTTGATTGAAACTAGAATTGCCACTGCACTTAAATGCTTTAAAAAAGCAATATTCTCAGAAACAAAGACCTAGAAGCAGAGTGTGGTTTAGACTCCTGTTCCATCAGCACATGCACTGAAGTAGAAGGCAGGCTGGTGAGTTGCCATGCAGAAACCCATGGATTGCACTCCCAAATGCAAATACACACCTTTATAGAGATTGTGCAAACTGACCTTATCAAACTAAGCAGAGATTTGAACTAGACATTCTCCTGAAGTCCCTTCTGACCTAAATTATGGCATGATTTTATGCCAAAGGATAAACAGGCGATTTTTCACATGGGACTTGGCTTATGTGCTCAGATCTCACCCGGAGTTCTATTCAGGTTGAAACCAACTTCCAGAACCTCTCCTCTTTATCTATTCCCTGCAAATACATTTTATATAAATAGGAATCAACAAGTAGGCTTCATGTGAGTGAGTAAGCATGAATGATGACTGTAGTTCATCCTTCTTCCAGATAAAAATTAAATGTGACAACATCCACAAATCTTCTGGCATGAGACTGTTCAGAAGAAGTGATCTTTCATGATAGTTTTGAGGGATACTGTGACTCACCCTAAACCATTTACACGATGAAATGAAGTTATACAAGCACAAACCTTCCACGGGTGAAATCACATGGTGTAACCACATACAAATTCACTATTACTGTCCTGCATAAATAGATGCATGTAGTCCTTTGATTTGCAACTCTCCACACCTCAACAGCAAAAATGCTAAACAGCAGTAAAGCTAATCCTGCAGGTAATTTTAAAGGAAAATAATTCTAACACATTTAAGCAGTTCAGCTCTTTCAGAGAGAAAAGGACATAGGATTTCACAGTTCCACTACCTTCTGCTTTTAACTCAGCCATAACCACCACTTCTCAGCTGGGATGCTGCTGCTAGTAACAGAACTGAAACAGATGCTTCTGCCCTCTTGCACCTTCTGCTGTCCAGCTCTTCTCTTCCAGACTACTGTCTGGTCACCTTCGTATTTATTTGTCACTGCTGGGGCTTTGGGAAGGGGAGCTAAGATTAGATAGTAAGTTTTTCCTCCAAAGTAACTGTAAATACAGATGCTCTTTGCTCAAACATAAGTAGAAATTAATGGACTTTGTCACTTTGTTGTTTACAGCCATCTCGGACCCCAAACTGGAAACTAAGCTTATACCCAATCCAGACAAAGCTGAGGACTCTGAGAAAATGGTGGGGATGAGCTGCTCAGCAACAGGGAAACCAGCTCCAAAAATAACCTGGCACCTCCCCAGCATCCTGCAGCAGAAACCAAGGGAGTACCACATAAAATTCAGCAACCAGACCGTGACTGTCATCAGCAATTTTACCCACACCCACTCCAAAATCCTTCAGGAGTACCCCATCACCTGCATGATCCAACACCCTTCTCTAAATTTGACCCTGGTCCTGCCCATAGACAGCCTGGAACAGGGTCAGTATGTAACTCCTCCTGCTCTGGAGTAGGGAAGAAATTGGGAAAACACCTCCTGGGGTAGAATCAGAAAACTCCTCAGAGGGTTGAAAGGTGGGGAAGGCACCTGGAAGTGCAGCTGTGGCTGGGCTTGGGAGGGATGGAGGAGGTGCCATGGGACGTCCAAATGCCCTGGCCAATGGCACATAATATCTTACTGCCCCTCAGGTCCCCTTACCCACCATGATGTGCCCCAGCCTCCCTGTCTCTATGAAGGACTATTTGTGACAGGGTTTCCTGTCACACAATGTGACACACGAAGAGATGCCAGTGTTGGGTAGCTCAGAGGTGCTGAGTTCTGCATGCCTGACCTTAACATCAGACCCCAAGCACAGGTCTGCTGGCAATGCCACTTGTGTGCATCATGCTGGAATGTGCTCCTTTATCCACCCCATTTCACCCCAGGGAATGGCCAAGGGATGCTTGAAATGGGTTTCAGGTTGTTTTTTTTTACTTCATGCACATACTGAGTACCTGCTGCTTTCCCCACAGGTCCAGACAGCAGCGTGGCACCATCCATGGCAGCTGCTATTGCACTGTGGTTCCTGGTCCCCCTGATCTCCCTTCTCCTCATCTGCCTCCTCTACCACTGCCTCAGGCACCTACGTGACCCAGAGAGAAACCCAGCCTGGCCCTGCTGGGTAGGTCTGCCTTTCCTCAGGGTGCTGCAAAATTCACCCCCACAGGTCTTGGCACTCATGACCTGGCTCAGCCCAGCCACACCAGGGCTGCCTGCACGCTGCCCAAGCCAGGCTGGAACTGGGCTGGAGAGGGACACAGGAATGAGCTCCCAGCCAGACAGCTGGGAAGGGGAAACCTGATTCTGCATAGCCAGCCTACAGGTGCCCAAGAGTGCTGGCAGCTAGAAAACACTCACTGTGCCAATGACAAGGCATGCTGCAGTGGGAGCATCACCCTACTGTTATATTTGAGCACAAAATAATTGTGTAAGCAGTGGCCAAAGCCTTGCACTGGTCTTCTGCAGCTCATAAAATAACCAATTTTACGAGCACAACCAATGCAGCTCACAAAGGCAGCAACTTTGAGGATGGGCCTCAAACAAAATGTGGTCTTTAGAGGAAAACTGTGCCTCTGTGAGGGAAGACCATGGTGCCACGCTGAGGCCCTGCTGGTTGTCCACCAAGGCTATCCTAGTGCAGGGGCTGCAGGATACAAGCTTGAGGTGGTTAAACTGATGTGAAGTGGCATAATTTCAGAAAACCACAGTTCAGTTTTGTGAAGTCTCCTCATCCTCCTTGCACTACATGCCTAGCATGTGCACCCTGGATTTTGGGGAAAATTTTGGAGAAAAAGAAGCAGTGGAGGAAATGCAACACATCTTAGGTGTTATACCTCTGGGTCCAAGCTGAAGACTGCTGGTTATATTGCAAGGAGAAAACTTAAGTCTCCTGTCACAGAGATGCAAGGACTCACTTGGCAATACAAATATCCAGGATCTTTACCCTCACACTTTAAACATCCATATATTTTGAAGAAATAAACACAAGAACCTCTCTTTCATCAGGTACTTCCTGCCTGCACCAAGGCCAAGAAGTGCAGGCAGTATGGAGCTGCAGGCAGGTGGGCTCCTGCAGTGTCCCACAGCCTTGGTGCACCACTGAACACCTGAGAAGCTGCCCCACCTACACATGCAAGAGAGAAACTCTTAAAAATGACACCTCAAGCTTCCAATGAAACCTTCTGTGACTTTCTCCAAGAGAAATATTAAAAGGGGTGATTTATAATATATATTTATTTATTTTATTATACTATAATATTGTTTTGTAAGAAAAAAATGTAACATATTTATTTGAAACTCAGACTGGCTGTGTGGATCCATTTAGTGGAACTCATGCTTTGTATTTTTGGTGGTTTCAACATTGTTTATTACCCTTTGAGATTTAAATATTGCAAGCTTAAAAGTGGACGGAGGATTGTCGGAAATAAGGCAACAAGCCTTTTGTAAGGCTGCTGTCTTGGAAATTATTGCTGATGGACCAAAGGAGCCCCTCACCAGGAGCTAGGCTGCAGAAAACCTGTGGAACATCCCAGCACATTAGTCTGAACTTCAGGTGTTAAACTTGTTCCCTAAAGGGCACAAGAGATCAGGGCAAGACTGCAGCCAGCCTGAACTTATAACCCGGTGCCAGGAGCAACAGGCTTCAAGGCAAGAGCCACAAGGAAGTGCTAAGTCTGATTTCCAGCAACCTCTCCTGGAAAGCAAAGTAAAAGGCACACAGATGTGTCCTTCTTCCCTCTTTCTCAGGGCTCTTCACAGCCCTCTTCTTAATGTACCTGATCTATCACAGCTGCCTTGTGTTTCCTGGCATCCCTGCAGGAGGCAGCAGGGCAATAAAAGGGCAGTTGCAGGGTTTTAGTAGGTTGTGCTGTGCATTTTGTGTTCTGATGGAGTGGCAGGTGAGTGCAGTAGGAGGCTGGCAGGCCTGAGGAGCTGGGTGATTTATTTATTTCCATGTGGGGAGAGAAGTACCAGTGCAGGGCAAGGAGTGTTCCCTATTCTGATCACTCTTTGCTTCTAAGCAGCGGGTCAGATCTGAGCTGCAGTCTCCTGTAATTCCCTGAATTGCACTATATGCTCATAAAGTCTTGTAGACATAGGGACAGAGAAATGAGCCCACCTGGCTCATGCTGGTCTTGTGGGAAGCCACCAGTCCAGGCTTCTTCCTCTCCTTCTGGCTTCCCAGAGCAAAAGCACGTCATCTGGTTTTTCCTCGTCCACGTATTTCAAATGGGCATCCCCACATGAATCACTAAGTTGTAGTCAAAAAGCCAAGTGAACAAAAATGAAAGCAAGTGAATGAGTTGAGAATGAGTAAACCTGGTCTTTGCTACAAAACACTTCTTTTAAACCCCCCTAATGCCTAGAAATAGCACAGTTCATGAGTGAGGGGAAAGAGGAACTGGCTGCAGCTGTTACAATTGGGTTTTTTCTTCATAGTCCCTTAATTGTCAGAGGAGGAAGTAATGGTTTGGCCAAACTTTTCCACCATTGCTGCTTCATATCTTCCTTGATGAGGGAAGAGGCCAGGGGAGAAGGTTTTCCCCTGGATTTGTGGAAGGCAGGAATGGGGTGGAGAGCCCCTGGCACCCTTCTTGAGCAGGTTGCCAAATTCTGCAAAGTCTGCACTTGCAATTTAGAGCAGTTTGAGATTTAACATGAGGTTTCTGCTAGTGTTTAGACTAAGATTTTTTGGTTTTGTTGTTTGTTTTGTTGTTTTTTTTTTAAATTTAAAGAAAAAAAAATCTCTGGCAGAAACAGGGGATTAGACATGGGTAAAGAAAAGGATTTCCTGAGGGAAGAGATAAAGGTGCAATGCCAGTGAGAAATCTATTCAAACCCAGGAAAATGGCAGTGATTATCTATTATTCTTTTCTACAAACTGATCACCTGGAGTGTGGGAAAGCAGGGCTTGGAGTCCTGAAAATATCTGTTTATGTATGGGTTTGTAGCTTCTTTTACTCTTTAGCTGAATGTAGAGATTTTTAGAGGTTTCTGCTTATGAGCATGATAGGTCCAGCAGCTGGGTGAGGGATGCAATGGCTTACAAGTAAAATTCTGTACAAGATTTATTTTTCATTCATGATACTGGAATGAGAACGTGACATCCAGTCACAGAACACTTAAAACCAATACATGTACTTACCTTCATGCTATACTAAGCCACAGTACCATAAAATGCTGTGTGCTGCTGCTGTGCTGTTTGGCTTCACATAGCAATGAAAGGAATGCAAGAATACAGACAATGGTTAATTAAGTGGCTGATAGCTATGGGACAAAAAAAGAATATGAAATAGCTACAAACAATCTTTTGTAGAATAAATTAAAGCATAACTGAGGGAATCAGAAGTTTTGGCTGTGAATGATGAACATCCTAACTGCTGTTATGAGATTTCATTGTGATTAGTTTGTGCTTGTCTGTCTAGTTACTTCTGTTAACAATTTGTAAGAATTCCTTGAAGGTTATATTTCAATTTGGTTTATACAGATACCTAGTATTTGTTTTAATAAATGTGGTATTTTAATAATTGGGTGGGTTTTGTTCCCAAACAGCTTTTGTCTGCTGTGGCCCTGCATGGCTGTAGATGGAGATGGTGAGATTGGTGTGGAACTTGAAATGAGAAATAGAAATAAAACTGATAGGATGCAAGCAAATTTAAGTGATATGAACTGCTTTGTTTTTCTGCTCCAATACAAGTGATATGAAGCAGATTGACTTTGTAAGTCAATGGAAGCAGACCATATTTTTGAAATAAATTCTACAGGAAAGTTCTGAGCTGATATTACCACCACAAAAATATAAAAATAAAAATATTAAATAGTAATTTTTAAAAAAAGCCTAGGATTTTTGCCTGCTTTGAGGCTAGGCAATTGTCAGTCTCACCCAACTCTGCCTTTGGCTACTTTGTGCCACTGCATTTTGTCCAGCCTAGGGACAAGTGGTGTTGATGCAGGATATAATTTCTCCTACCTGATGGAAAAAGGGCAAGCAGGAATGCCACCTTCGTTCTTGCCTCTCACTTGGATAAAACTGCTTCTGGGTTATGCATCTCTCTTTATAAATCAAATGTAGGCTGGACCTCTCAGCTTTGGGATCCTTTGACCCTGACATTAGCTGGTTTGGGTTAAGATCTTAATTTGTGTAAGAAGTGTCCTTTTAAATAAAAGCTGAGATAGATGCATAGATAAAATTAAGGTTCTTCAGGCTATATAAAGTGTTCATGCTTCTGTTTTGGCATGCCAGGCTGTTTCAGAGGTATATTGTGTTGGTATTTTTCTCTGCCTAGATAGTGGGTTCCTGGTTCTAAGAGAGCAGGAAGATGCAAGCAGATTGCCCCAACAGCTCTGGCTGAAGATATTACTTGGAAATGTAGCTGAAATGTTTGTCTTAGATATTTTACAGGCCCTGGCTGAAATAGGAATATTCTTCTTCTGAAACCAGTGCTGGCAGAGGCATGAGACTAAGTTTGTCCAGTGAAAAGAAACTCTGTTTTGGTGATAGACCTTTGAAAGCATCATTCATCAATTCTCTGTTGTGTGACCCTGGGGGAATGATTCATCTAAATACCACACCAGTAATTTTTCTTATTAAATCAGACATGGAAGAAAATATAACCCATTGTTTTCATTCAATTTTCAGTACTGAGCCCCTGGAAATCAGCTGAAACAAGAGAACTGCACAAATTGATTGCATTTTTCTCTTTTATAAATGAGACTATCAAGCCAGGCAGATACAAATCAAGTGTATTTTTGTTTTCACTCTCAGTACACCAGAAATTTCTCAAGTTTTTGGCAGCCATACAAAGGGCCTTCTCATATCTCTGCTGCTTTCATCTTCAGACATATAAAGCTATGTGTGAAAGGAGCACTGAATACTTGTCCAGCTCTTTGTGGATGGACTCTGTTGTAGTCTGCTCAACTTTGAGAAAAGCTGCCTGAAATTTCTGGGGAGGCTGAGCGAATCCTCAGTCCAAGATCCCTACAAAATACAGAATTTTAAATTCCCTAACATGTCAGAAGCTGTGGTCCTCAACCACCCTAAAGAAAAGCCAGTTTTGTCTAAGTTCAAAGAGAACTTGAAATGGTACATGAGAGAAGATGAAAACCTTTCAGAAAAAAACTTACACTTCTTAGTGTAAAAAATACAACCTTAATTATTTTTTTAATCACAATATTTTATTTGATATTATCCTTTAGGTAAATTTCAGGAAGCCCAGGTCTCATCCTAAACACCCAGGCTTACATTTCAGTTTAAACAAATCGATTTGCCTTGAGCCTTCCTTGTTTACAGGAATTTAGCTATTTTCATAAATGAGATTGCTTGTGGGTTGTGGTGAAGCACTGACACCTGCTGGTGTCTCCACACGCCCTCCTGATGGAGAATCATCTCCTGCTCTTGTTTGTGACTCCTCTGTGCCAGATCCAAGGGAGGAAGGAGGACTCCAGTGTTGCCATCCAGGAAGCCTCAGAGCCAGTGATTCACAGGCAGCACCTCCCTTCCCTGCCAAAATAAAGGGAGCAGGGTCTGTGTCCCCTTGTTTCTTCCTTCTCCACCAGACATCTCCCATGCATACCAGGAAAATTGCAAATTCACACCTTGAGAGTTGCAAATACTTCCAGCAGAGTCTGGCAGGATGGGGTGAACAAGGGACATCACCAGGCTTTGCTGATGGAGAGGAAGAAAACCAAAGAGAGAACAAAGTGGCTCCTGTTCTCTTTCATCTCTGGCAGCCAGTATGATCAATGATTGATTGCAGTGGTGCTGTTGGTTGGCCACTGAAGAACACTGAAAAAAAGAAAACAAAATCTTCTGTAGTCCCCTTAGCTGCCCTCTGAGGGAAGTGGGGAAAGGGGTGAGCTTTCCTGGGCAATAGCTTTGCCCCACAGTGATCTTCCCCCTGCTCTTCTGGGCTGAGATCTGCCACCTGCTGCTCTGTGGAGGCTGCCAGCGAGTGGAACAAGTGATGGGTGAGTGAAGCACCCTTTCCCCACACCAGCTTAGCTCTGGGGCACCACCACATTACCTGACAAGCAGAGAGACACAGATACCATGCTCACTGAAATATACAACTAAATTGGGTAAGGCTTGGTCACAGAGAGCACAGGGCACTTTGCTCACAAGCCATATGATGTGCCTATATATTCCCTTTCTTTGTTGGTGTTGCTGAACTCCTCAGCACGGGGGATGGAGCGGGTTTGCATTTCCAGTGTACATGTAAGCGTGGTGCACACTTTTCTGGGGAGAGCCTGCAGCAGGGTATATCCCTCTGCAGCACCTGCAGGGTGCCCTGGGCTGCTTTGCCTCCCCACAGCCCTGCAGGTGCTGCAAGAGGGGACCAGGGGTGCTCTTGTGAGCAACCTGTTTTTGCTGGGTGGTTGCTGAGCTTGCTAAAGAGCCTGCCTGCCCTCTGTTCCCGTGCTGCCTTCCTCCTCTCCATAGAATTGTACAGCAGAGAATAATGATGTGGTGGCCACCTGTGACAACAGGGTGTCTGAGGTCTCCTGATATGCCCCATGGCCTCGTGCTGGAGTTCCTTATTCCAGTGCTCTGCAGGATGAGAACAATGTGACTGGATGTTTCAAGGCACTAGGGCCTTCCCTGAGTCCATTTCTTTTCTTCCTGCCCTGATCTGGGGCTTTGCTTTGCTCCTAGCTTTGAAGGAACCCATCCAATCTGATACCATCACCGTAGCCACCCTTGGGGGAGAGGCAAACTTCTATTGCAACTTCTCTCTCTCAGTGGATGTTTTGCAAGTTACCTGGCAGAAGAGAAATGGGACTTCCTTCCAGAACATGGCCACCTACAGCCCAAAACACGGGCTGAGGCTGATAGGGCCATTTCAGAAGAAGGTGTCTTTCACTAGAGCAGCTCCAAAGGCCTCAGCTATCACCCTCCAAAATCTCACACTTGAGGATGACTCTTATTACAGATGCATTTTCAATGTGTTCCATCATGGCTCCTTCAGCAAAGACATACGCCTCAACATCCAAAGTAAGTTTTCCACTAACACCTTCTCTCTTTCTGGCACTCAGTTTGGGTCTGATGTACTCAGGAGGCAGGGATGTCATTATACTATCCACCACATGGAGATTTTCCATGCAGCAGCATCTCCTTGGTGGATAGTGTCCAGATTGCCATATCAGAATTATTACCTAACCAACTGTCCTTTTGATTGCACAGTCACAACTGGGAATCCCTCCCACTAAACACTCTGCTCTGACCTCCCATGTGTTCCCTGTTTTCCCTGCAAGCTCCTGGTGCTCCTGTGCTGTAACTGGGAGCTTGTTGTGGTTTGACAGTGACCAAATGCCAGGCTTATCCTCTCCTGCTGCAGCTGGGCAAAGACAAGGGAAAAAAATTAACTAAGGTCTCATGAGTTGAGATAAGGACTGGGAGAAAAGAGGTTCAAGGTAAAAAGTATAAGGTAAATTTATTAACAGAGTCAGAGGAGGATGATGATAAGTAAAACAAGCCTTTATAAAAGCCTTTCTTTTTTTCCCCTTTCAAATAGTCTTTTGGCATCCAACAACCTCCATGTCTGGTATCAAGAAATTACAACCACCATTACAACAATTTCATATCATCCATGACATTAAATGACTTTATCAGGGTTGTTCAGCGTGCACCCTGACTGTGGTTGCTGGAAGAGATGTTGAAATGGACTGATGAAGGAACTTTGGCACTGGATATAATTTCTTCTTTCCTCTCCTGGAGAAAGAGGTCTTTCAAAGGGCCAGGGACAGGAATGTGGAAATATTCCCAAGTCTGTTCTCCACACTTCCAGGCTGGCCAAAACAACAGCAAAATGACAGCTGGTGGCAGATCCCCTGAGCCAGGTTAGACCTTCTAGTAGACCCATTTGAGCATTTTCAACTTGAAGATGCACTGCACATGATGATTAAGGGGGGATATGCTAACTTCTGTGAGCAGAGCAAGAAGAGAGTTCAATCAGCAGAGCAGATGTTCTGATATAAACCTCCAGCAGCCAGTATATCCTATAAAACCTGCTGTGTTTGGTTTTACTGGAATCTATGTCACTGACTGCATCCACCCTTTTTTTTTTCCTTTTTGCTGATAAATAATGACAACTTGGATCAGCTGTATCATACATTTGCCTTAAGCCTGTACAGGTTTTGCTGGTTAGTGGCTCAAATGACTCTGCTTATATAAGAGGTCAGTAGCCCAGAAATCAAGGGAAGAATTAAGAAATATATTGGTAAATATATTAATAGTGGAATGTGTCTTCCCAGAAGGCAGAGGAAAGAATGAAGAATAAATCTTATTCATGACAGAAGGAATTTTAAATTGCTAGTTCCACCAGCATGCAGGGTATATTACAACTAAAGAAATAAAAAAATATTAACAAAGACCTCTCTGGATTTTAGAACAAGAGCTCTCTACTTACTCCCTTTCTATCTAACTTCAAAGGATTTAGCATACCATAGAGTCCATGTCACTTTGGCTACCACCAGCTCCAGAGAAAGTAATGTACAAAGAACCTTGTAAAGCTTGGCAAAGATTGCTGACCTGAGCCAGGTTCCTGTAAAAAGAAACTGTTGACATTAGAACACAGAATAAGGCAGAAGGGGATTTTTGGGCTTTGTTCTCCTCTAAATATAAAAATAATTCAAATCTTCCACTATTGCTGGTTTGTCTGGAGTATTTTTCATTTGCCTATCTGCCCTGAGGTTACCTCTGGTCTTTGCCTACTACTTCAATATCATCCTTTCCCTGCTCAGCTCCAATTTATTCCCTCTCTCCCAAAGGAGCAGCCCTCTTGTTTTCCAGACCTTTTCATCATTTCCTTCTTTCTTCTCTAGGTTTCTCCAGCCCACTGAAGAAGTAATAACATTTGCCTAAATACAGACATTTTCCACCTCAGCAGATGTGAGTTACTGTAATATATCACTCAAATCCCCGCAAAGTCCCCTTTATTTTCATGAAGTAAGAACAGGAAGATTTCACTGGGATTTCCCTCCTTTTCTTGCTTTGATGGCACAGGGAACTTCTGGATAAATTTATTTTAAGCTGTGCAGTGGGCAATTATCTGGACTTCCCTCTAAAATCCCCTCAAACATAGCACGTGAGCACAGGAAACTTGCTAATGCACTTTTCTCATTAAAACAAGAAGAGTGTGAAGCATGTAGGTACATCAGTATCAAACAGCTAGTGGGTTAGTTGCTGGCCTGTTTTAAAGGGAACAAAAAGGGCAAGGCTGGCAAAAGAAATTTAAGTGATTTAAGACATAGTGATTGATCCTAGGAGATAGAAAGAAAGGTAAAAAGAAAGGTAGTGGTAAAGCTCAAATCTTGTTAAAAGCCAAGGAGCTTTGGTTAGTTAGTTGGCAGGGGGAAAAGGCTGCAGTAAATCCAGCACAGTGGTGGGGAAGGTGTCTCCAAGTACAGCTCTGCCCATCTGAAAGAGACACTGCCCTGATCTCCAGACCCCAGCCACTAAAGTTGAGCCAAATCTGTTGGGGGCAGCAGAAGCTTTTTATTTCTACAGGTCAAAAGTCACTCCTTTGTGCACCGAGGTACTGAGAGCAGCAGGAGTGAGCCCGAGGTGAGCCGGGAAAGCTGCAAACAGTTTAGTAGCATTGCTCCAAATATTCACACACATCTGTGTCTGAAATGAGTTTCTGGGTTTATGTATGCATCTTTGTTGATTAGTTTTGTCAAGGGGTTGAAATGGTGATGTTTGCTTTTTCCTGTGAGCAAGGATGGCTAAAACAAGAGTCTGGCAAGATAAATATTGCAAGTGGCATGAACAGTGTATGAATGTGTGTGTGTGTGTGAAAGCATTTGAAGAAAGAGCAGGCAGTGAGTGAACTATATTGATCACTAATGCTGTTTCTAATTAATCAGACTGGGAAATGGGTTGTTTCTGTCAAGCCTGCAACAAGGCCTGATATGTTATCCCTGATGTAGTCAGAACATCCTAATCTAACAACAAAATAATAGCAGAGAGATTACCCAGTATCACTCCTGCTTCCTGGAGGAAGGTCTGAGGAGGGTCTCGGGGGAAGATCTGAGGAGGGTCTTGGGGGAAGATCTGAAGAGGGTTTAGGGGAAGGTCTGAGGAGCATTTAGGGGGAAGGTCTGAGGAGGGTCTCGGGGAAGGTCTGAAGAGGGTTTAGGGGGAATGTCTGAGGAGGGTTTAGGGGGAAGATCTGAAGAGGGTTTAGGGGGAAGGTCTGAGGAGGGTCTCGGGGGAAGGTCTGAGGAGGGTCTCGGGGGAAGGTCTGAGGAGGGTTTAGGGGGAAGGTCTGAGGAGGGTCTCGGGAGAAGGTCTGAGGAGGATTTAGGGGGAAGGTCTGAGGAGGGTTTAGGGGGAAGGTCTGAGGTGGGTTTAGGGGGATGGTCTGAGGAGGGTCTCGGGGGAAGGTCTGAGGAGGGTCTCGGGGGAAGGTCTGAGGAGGGTTTAGGGGGAAGGTCTGAGGAGGGTTTAGGGGGAAGGTCTGAGGAGGGTCTCTCTCGGGGGAAGGTGGGCAGCGGTGCCGGGCGCGGCTCAGCCTGACAGCGTCTCCGGGAGCGGGACCCGCCCGGGATGGGAGGCGGCAGCCACCGCCCGCCGCTGGCGAATCCTCCCTCTGTCCTCCTTCCTACTCGGGACAGACTTCAGCTTTCAGCTGCCTTCGAAACCCTGTGTGACGAGGAAAGTTTCTTTGAAGTTAAGAGAAGGTCCCGAGGTGCGCAATGGGTACCAAAGCAGCGAAGATGAGGATTGTTATTGAAAACTCTGATTGCCTGCAGGTGCGGTATAACTTTCACTGCTTTATAAACAGCTCTGTGACTCGGTAGTTTCTGTTTGCTATGCTGTCTTTTGATTTCTGCTTCTAGGAGTTTCTTATAGATCTGAATTTCTTATAGCTGTGCTCAAATATCTGACTACACAAACTTTTTCACTTGGCTTATTGCTGATATGTTCTTGTTTCCTGATTCTACACATAACAACTCGGTCTCTATTTGTTCTTGGTAACTGGAGAGTTATAACAGAAGTTGTTTTAGCACATTGTGTTTAAAATTTAAAGGCAGGCTGCTGGTTGTGGGTGTATGCAGTGTGTACACAAGTCTGCTGGCAATTTGTTTTTAAGTACTTTTTTATTCCTCTTAATTATTGATTTATTTACCAGCCCTTCTTTTTTAGCCTGTGTAATATAAAAAATGCTTCTCTGTTGATTGCCTCTTCTATTCTTTGCACATTGTGAAAATCTTTGAAAGGTTGGGCTTTACTTAAATTCTTGACAGAAAATGGTCCCAGGATGCTTCAGCTAATTTTGCAGGCATTGACAAAAAAAACTCAGCAGTGGGTAGAGTGTGTTACAGAGGTATTTTTTGCAAAATTATGTTTCTTGAATAGAACACAAACTTCAGTTCTAGGCAGGTCTACAATTCAGTTGTAGGAAACAGGGCAATAAAACTTCTCAAGTCTTGCTGTCTGACCCCAGAACTACATTCTTTTTCACATGAAAAATCTTTTAATTTTTGCACCCTGAATGTACAATATCACCAGAAAATGATCTCTCATCTCTCCTTGTCTTTCTTTAGGTGAAGCAGATTTTCTCTTCCAAAATGGTTTTACGAGCTCTGGTTTTGTGTTTGGCATATTCTGGGCTTGGAAAGCCAATTGGTAAGTTGAATTTCCTGAAACCTGCTTGAAATTGTTTGGGGAACTGGTTTCAGGTTTCTGAGACTTCAACAGAGACAAAAATAGGTGAAATACAGATTGCTGATGCTGCTTGACTTCTTACATAGCTGAGACAGAGACATGGAGCTGGTAGCTGGGACACAAATCCTCCTGGAGCCACATTTAGAGATGGGAAAGACAAGAAGCATCCCATATCTACAATGACACTGGACACCATTGTTAACCTGAGTTGACAGCTTCCAAGAGAGGGGCATCCCAAAAGGACTTCCTTCCCTCCATCTCAAATGTACTGTGAACTCTGAAACTACAGTTCAAGCCTTGTGCTGCTTTTTTTTTTTTTTTTTTTTTTAGTTATTTTGCTGTTTACTTCTCTGATAATAGCTTTGTGTGTACTTCTCTTATGCACTCAATCTTCCTCTAGCTCTTAGGAGGAAACAAAAATTGAGTATTTGCTGAGAATAGGAAGTCATGAGCTAATTTAGTAAAACTTAAAAGGAAGTCTGCAGATATGGGTACAGAAATATGTAAGTATTTTTGTCTTTTAAGTAGCTTAGAAGAAAGCTAAAGCCTCAGCCAGTGCAAATTAACATTGATTCCTTCACTGATTCCTAGGAGTATGTAGGAGAGGGACTTTTTTGCAGGGAAAGCCATAGAAACAATATGTAACTGGAGGAGTTGTGTCTGTGAGTAATCCAGGCCTTAGAATCAACACTAGGCTTCTGAATATGTGTGATCTCTGCCCATTTCATCAACCATTTACTGTCATTGCAGTGGTTCCACAGGCTGGACACAAAAAAGTGAGGATGGGTGATAGTGTGACTCTGAGCTGTGCCCTGACAAAACCCATGGAGGTTCTGCAAGTGACATGGCAAAAGGACTCAGAGGAATCACATGATAATATAGCTACATACAGTGAAACAAATGGATTCAAGATTCAGAAGCCCTATGAAGACAGATTGAATTTCACAACTTTGGAGCTCAACAAAACAAGCATAACTTTTTGGGACACTAGAATGGATGATTCAGGATGTTACAAGTGTCTCTTCAACATTTTCCCTTCTGGCCCTCTCTCGGGAAATACCTGCCTGAGTGTTTTTGGTGAGGTCCTCTGCAGGGATATGTCTCTAGCGAAATAAGAGGTGTTTTCTCTTATTTCTCTTATTCTCTTATACCCACAGTATTTCCTTGAGCAGATTCAAGAATTGCAGTGATAGGAGCATCCCTTGGTGGAACATGATGTAGAAACAGAGCACTACTGCTGTGAGCAAAATTCTGTGGGTCGTATTCAAGACTATTGTGGTCGTTTTGGCTCTTGTTTGTTACTCCTTGAGTAGCAGCTGAAAAGCAAGGAGTGGAATTTTTCTAAGTCCTTGATCAGCCCCAGCTGGAACTTGGGCAAACCAACATTGCCCATTGGAGTTTCCTTTTGGTGCAAGGTACGACTCCAGTGCTGTGAGCTGCTCTGCCAAACCCTACCATTGATAGGGTATTAGCAGATAGGACCAATAAATTATTTTACTTAGCAGATTATTTTAATACTTAGATTTCAGATTGAGTGAAATCTTTGGGGTATATAACTTCAGTATGGGGGAAGGAGTATTGAGTCATGACCCAGGGAACTCTTCCTGCATTCCTTGCCATTGGGCTCAGTGTGAATCCAGGAAGTTTTGCTCTGATTTGTAATGGCTAGGCTGCTACTGCTGCTTAAAACCAGGTGCCCACTGTGTTGATGACTTGTCTCATTTGTGTGTTGGAAGGTCTCAATGCATCTGTCCATCACAACATTTCTGAAGATCATTTGATAGTCATCTGTAATGCTAATGGCCTCCCAGAGCCCACCATCACCTGGAACAACCTGTTCAATTCTACTCCTACACAGAAGACAGTCAAGCACAAAAATGGGATTGTGTCCATCACCAGTAAACTGAAAATCTACAACATTCAGAGCATCAGTGCACAGGATTTGATCTGCAGAGTTAGCAACACAAATGAAACATTTGAATTGCCTGTGAAAATAAAAGGAGGTAGGTGAGCAGTACAAGCTACTTGTTAGCATTCTCGTGGCTTCTGTGTTTTGCAGTAGCATAATTGGATAGGAATTTTCTGGGAAGAGGAGGGAATGGGATGTTTATATGTCAGGATTTATTTGCGTCCACTGTTGTCTTTGAGTAATATATTGGAGTCCTGTGCAAGCAGGGGAAAAAGCCAGACTAATCAGCTAAGGAGATAATGGGGTTTAAAGGCACTGTGCATTTTGCAGAAAGTTGAACTTAGGTTTCCATGTAGGCCTTCATATTTTTTTTAACAGCTTAAAAATAAATCTAAATATTTCAGCTGATATCCAGATGAGTAGAAACTCTGTGGGTTGCTTGATGAACTCAGAAATTTTGAAATTCATAACAAACTGTCTCTGAAACAAATGTTTCAGTTCAACTTACTGCATGTTTTGTTGTATTCAACCTGTATGTTTTAGTTTCTCTGACTTATGGCCAAGGCACACATCCACTGCAGTAATGGTCAGAGAGGAGCAATACTTTTAGGCATACAGGGAGGGGGTCAGTTGAAGATACTTACATTTGGTTTATACATAAATCTTAGATATATTAATGTAACATCTGAATATCTTGTAGTGTTCACTTATTTCTTCTTCCAACATTCTTTTCTGCTGGAAGAACTTTCACACTGTTTCTGCAGATAAGGAGCAGAAACATTAAAAGCTGAAGTACCATTTTTAGATCATACAGGAAACATTGACTTGAGTGATTTAAAATTCACGTCTCTCTAGAGCCTTAAATTCACATCCAGAGCCTTAAATTGAAAACCACTTGTAAATTAGCAAGACAGGAAAAGCAGATTGCAGCTGTGGGTTGATTCTGAAATTACATGCTCAAAAAGTGATTGTTACAGGAATAGTAGTAAAGAGCAGGATCTGATTTTTAAAATCTTTTTTCCGAACATTCAAAAGCAATTTAGTTCTTAATTCTGAATCACATTGCAATTCTGGAAAAGCATACTAATCTTTTTGTCCTGTCTCCAGTATTCTTTTGTTTTGGTCTTTAAAAAAGCAAATGCATATCTCAGAAAGCAGAAAACTTAAGACTGTTGTTATTTCTTGCTAAGTGGATAAAAAATCAGCTAACAGCTTGTTGTTTTAACAATCTTCTCTTTTAGAGGACAAGAACTTCAAATTAATAGTTCAAACTATCTTTGTTAAAAGACATTATAGTTTTGGCTTGAGTCAAATAAATTTAAAGTCATGCAGTTTTCCAGCTAATGTCAGTGAACATTGAAATGAGCCTTTTGATTAATAGCAGTCAAATGAAGTGGTAATGTCTCACCAGGGAGGAACGTTTGACCTCAGATGTTGGGTAGAGCTATTTTCAGACAGCAAAGCACAGCGTGTCTTCTTTTCTTAAAATTAATGTTGCCTTTGCAACAGTGTTAACTGTTTCTGGGTAAACAAAAAAACTTTTCTGAAAGTGTAAAAGACTTGTACAAAGTTCTGCTTATGTGTGTATGCCAGCCACTGTATCAGGTATAGGAATGGCAGTGTTCTTTGCCATCTTTTCTTCACATTTCCTGTGGGCAAGTAGCTTTGTTTTTGGAGATACAGAGGTTTATTTTCTCTTTTGAGCAATTGGTGCTTTCATTTATCTTAGCAGTACCTTTAACCATATCAGAAGAATTGCTGTCATTAATCAGACATCCTCGTGGCTCGTGGTGCTTTTTTTTTGCAGTGAGATTAATTTGCTGTGGATGTTTTGTTGTTTTCACAGAAGAGGGATCGTCACTGCTTTGGTTGGTGGTTATTGTGGTGCTTTTAGCAGTCATCATAGTTCTTATTCTGATTATGCTGTTCTGGAGGAAGATCCTATGCAAGAGGACTTGAAGGGGTGAGTCACCAATGCGTGGAAATGCAGTTTTCCCAGAGCCCATAATAATAATCATCTGCAGAGAAGAACAAGGCATGTTGGGATACCATCCTGGGGTATGAGAGTGTCATTCTGGACAGCTCAATAAATAATAGTAGTAATATGTTTACAGTTTTTGAGTAAAAAACTCAGTTGTGTGTAAGTTTAAGAGCTGTTTTTCCACTGCCAAGGGACGATCCAAGGCTGAGAATTGTGAGGGAAGGATCCAAGCAGAGCAGAACATGCTGGTCTTGGTTTGCTTGGAAGCAGCAGTCTCAGAAGAAGTAATTCACTCATCTTTCACATTTTCCTGGAAGCCTACAAAATGTACCATGCTCAGATAATTTTTGGCAGATGAAGTAAACATTGGTGAGGAACCCACTCATGTAGAGTGATGTCCCTTCAGGGGAGTCATTGTCTACTAGTCACGGCACCATCTTTGTATTTTTTTAAGACAAACAGGGTAATTTGATGAAGAAGTGTGCTCAAATTTGGCACAAGTGTGCTTCCTAATGACGAATTAAGCAGAAGTTGCAGTCAGTGTAATGTCTCTGAGTCTCTTATCCACCGGGTCATGGATAGATTCAACTCTCTAGTCTAAAATAACATAATGAACAGAAAAAGACTGGGGGGTGGGCGGTGATGAGGGAGGCACCATAAGCTTCAGAAATCACAGAAATTTGATGGTGGTTGGTGGTTTCACTGTTGTTTCACTAAATCCAAATTCCATGTCTGGCTTTAAATTCCACTAATATATTTAGAAACACCAGCACATATTTACTCAGTTCCTGGCTATATACCTGCTTCAGGGCAATAATATGATACAAAGTAATGTTGCAAGGAGTATCACACCTGTCTATTGTGAATTTAGACATACAGCATCTACTATTAAGACAGTTTGGCCTAATGAAGTTGCTATTACCAGAGACACAAAAGTCTTCACTAAGAAGAAAGAGAAATGAACACCCCGGATATAATGTCTTAATTGTAAAATGTATGTGAGGCTTTCATCATTCTGTAAACAATTGGGAAGATAAAATTTCTGGTTGCTATCATGCTGTCATGTGGGTTCAGCAATAATTTGTAACAGGAACATCCCCAGCAGGCAGCAGGTTTCTTACACCCTACACCACACGCTAGGTATCAGGTTTGGAACCCCCAAGCCATTTTGTGTATCCTTGCACCATGACTTGAGTCGTGTAAAACATGATTTACTGCTGTGGAGCACTGCTGTGAGGCACAGCAACAGAGCCTACAGTTTCCCTTATTTGGTGGCTAAAGGTTACTAACAGTTTATCTTGTGTAGCATTCCACTTTCAATATCTTGGACACCCTTAGAATACTAAAAATATCTGTGGAGTTACAGTAATTTTTAACACTATACTTACAGTGTGTTACCACTCCACAAGTACTGTGATGAGGAAATCCCCTAAACTTCTTAGCTTTGGACCCTACTCTGGCTTTGTGGTGACTTATTTTTTCCTTGATCATCTGTAAAATATGTTTATGCTTTGGTTGTAGTCAGTTCACCCAAAAGGCAGTAATATCTTGCAGAAAGCCCTTTTCTGGTTTTGCCCTCTGTTGACCTGGGACTGGATGGAATGAGGAACAGCGCCTACGGATGTAGTTTTGGAAATGTTGTTTGTGAGAGCTAACAGCACTGGCTCAAGAATACCAGGATCTGTCTGGGACTTCAGTACTTCTTTTCATTCTGCACTAGATAACAAGCACAGCCTTTCCAGGCTTGTCAAGATGCTCAGTTTTTAAAGTAAAATCATAACCTTTTATCTGGGTGGCTGGGAAGCCTTCTCTGACAAAGTTTCTTCAAAGTGCTTTTGCTTCTGAGAGTATGGTTAGGTTTTGCTTTGCTTTTATTTTTGTTGTTCCCTTCCTCTTCATGGTAAATACTTGGGAACCAGGTATCTGGGGCTGAAAGTCGATGCCCTATCCCTCAGGCATTTGCCTTGTGTACCTGTTACAGAGCATACATACATTTTGGTTCTCCCTGAAAATGTCCTCAGTGAAGTGTCTTCACAACATTTGTGTATAAGTGACTTATTTGGAATCAAACTGAGCAGCCTTTGTAGCAAGTGCTGACACACAAGCTTTGGAAAACTCACATCTCATCCTCTACCAAGTAGGCAGGCAAACCCCACTGTGCCTATCACTCGATTTAAGTGCAATGAGCAGGCTGCAAAAAATCACCAGGCATAAATTCTCCCACGCCTGAAGTTTCTTGATGCTGCTCACCTGATAAAAAGTCAAATCCTTTCATTCCTTACTCAGCTGATAGAGCTGAGTTGTAGACCACACTGAGATAAAGCAGTCCAGTTAAGAAGCCAAGTGCCTGGGTAGAAGCAAAATAAAGACTATTAGCCTGAATAAATTCCTGTGACTTACCTGTCATTTATGTGTCTTCACTTGAATGCTTTCCATAGCATCACTTGCTTATTTCATGGCTTGCAGGATACTCGTATTTCAGCCTGGCAAATTACAAAGCTTTATAGCTAATTCTCAGGATGTATCAGTATGCAGGGGGATAAAATTCCACGCATACAGGTTTTTTTGGAGGCTTGTAGTAGCCTGTCAGGAAGGACTACTTCACAAATACACATAAAGGCAGAATGGGTTTATTTTTTGTTTGATTTGGTTTTTAGGAATTGGTATGTTGATCTCTCTTGGGTAGCTTATGCAGGTTTTGCCATGTGAAAAGCTTCAGAAATGTTCATATAGTATAACAGAATTCACAGAATTCACAAATAATATATTTGTGTTTTAAAAAAACTGTAACAAGAGGAAAAAAAAATTGGGCTTCTAACTGAGTAGATATGATACTGAATAGATAGAAAACTGAACAGAATAGGTTAACCTGGAAAAAAGAAAACTTGAAGAGTCATAGAAGAAGATCCTAGGCCAGACGAAAAATTCCATTCTGCAGAAAGCAGCAGAATAGAAGTGTGTTTTTCCTGTTTAGAAATCAAAACATTCAGGTTCTCCTGAATCTCCAAAAGTGTGGAGATTTTGTGGAACTCAGATGTAAGCAGCATTGCCTTTGTCTCTTAGTGCTGTGGTTTTATTTGACAGGGCGGTGTTCGGTCAAAGGTTGGACTTGATGATCTTGGAAGTCTTTTCCAACCTTAGTGATTCTACAGTTCTCTTTGTGTCTGAACACAACCATCTGTGTTCCAAAGAAGTGCTGAACCTCAGTGTGCTTAATATGTTAGACAAATACTCCAAAACAGGTCAAAAATGCCTCTTTGTTACAAGCTGGAGATCACTTAATACCCTGAATAGGAATTTAAGATTCCCTGATTGAATTTGATAAGATTTAAGATTCCCTTTTGAAATTGATAATTGCTACAAATAGCATAGAATCAAGTCTGGTAAATGTAAAATAGCAGCTTGGCTGATCAGCTGTAATATGTGGGTATGAGAAACCCAAATTTTGGTGGCCAAATATGTCCTGGAAGGCTGGGAAATAAATACTATGCAGGAATTCCAGTTTTTGGGAAACTTTATAAGAACAAGTACTTGGTTACACTTTTCATTGTTTTGTTTATAGTAAAGATAGTAATTAATTTTTGAAGAGTCATTATAGCAGTATCCTCTAATCTGTATTTTCAGGAAGGCTCTGTTTCTAAGCTCTAGTGTAAAAATTACAACAATTCTTTTTTTATCTTACAACTCAGAGTGTTTCTTCAGTGTTTGCTTTGACATCTGATTTTCTTATTAGTGAGAGACTCAGTAGTTGAGAACAATATAACAGCAGCTTGGGTTTTGGAGAATTTTCAGTACACAAAGCCCACTAAATACCAGACTTTCAGATTATAAACTCAAGATAAAACTCCCTCTTTCCCTGAGGCAGATGCATATAACATACTTCTCTGCTCACAGAGGAATGGGTTTTTAGCTGTTGTATCCCAGCTGGTGAGGCTCATTTTAAAATAGCCTTGGTTTCCTCTCAAGTGTGGCTTTAATGAGAGTAGGAGATTGTATTTGTTCTATTTTGAATTCGTGAAAAATAGCAAAAACTCTGCAGTGAATATACAACAGCCTCATTCCTTTACCCTTCTTAATACTAAGCCAAAAAAAAAAAAAAAAAACCAACACCCAAAATAAAAAAAAACCCAAGCCAACCAAACAAACAAAAATCCCAAAAACCAAAAATGCCACAGTACAAAAACAGTATAGACAAACAGACCTAAACAGAGCTACTGAGGGGAGGAATAAAAAACCAAACAACCCTCATGACAAAAATCTTAGTGAAAGGGTAATTCTGCTGTCAGGCTGCCCATCAGGTTTCCTGCAGACATAAATATTTTGCAACTCAATTGAAGATGTTTTCTGGGTTTTAATCACACACTTTTTTAAGACAGCTCCTGTTACCTAGTAATTCCACCTAATTTTCTGTTCACAGAAATGTCCCTGGCAGTATCCTGTGGTCTGTATCATGTAGGGAGGGAGGATGGGCACACTTTGCAAGCTTTTCGTGCTGTTTTCTTTGTGAAGGACAGGGATGGGTGGTATTTTCTTTGTTTTCCCCATCATGTTTTGCTGGGACAAACATGCTCCTTATCCCGCTTTACTTTTAGAAGAGCCAGGAAAGGGGAGTGGCAGGAGGAGGAAGGAGGGTGAGGTCACATCGGTGAATTCTGGTCTCCTGGGCCGTGGCTGGGGTTTTTGTCTGGAAGGATGAAATAAATCCTGTTTTGCTGCTGACAGGGTGAAGGTAATGGTGTAGGAAACATCTTGGAGTTTGTCCTGCACATCTAAAGGAGTCTATGCCAAAAAAACACAAAGCCCTTTCTTTGCAAGCAGGGAGGCTTTTGACCAGTGACTAGTACCATTCCTATCCTAATGTGACTAGTGCAATTCCTATCCTGTGCATCATATTTGTGCTCATATGGCATTATGAAGTATTTTTCTGGTCCTTCCTTCTCCTTTTTATTCCAACAATAGGGCTTTGTATATAACAAAATGAAATGGCTGGCAGCTGAAAGGGAGAACAAATAGCGTTCCTGTAATATGTGAATAGTTGCCTCCCTGTTTTAATTTCTCATTCACTTCCTTGGTAAGAATTATTCATATACTCAATTCCAAAATACTTAGTCTGAATGCAGGGTTATTAGATAAGGAGCCTCTTTCATACTCCTCTACATGAGAAGTAAAGATGCTATATATTTTATTGTTGCCTTCAAAGTCATGTAAAATAGAGCTGCAGACAGAATCCTAAACGTACAAAAGATATTCTGAAATATCAAATTACTTATATACTCAATATATGTGTGTTAATTAATTATTGGTGTATTATTCTAGTAAGGAAAGTTGGTTTACTTTTCAGTTTGCAAATCCTTTCAGGGTTTTGTATATACCTTATGTCATATTCTGCAGAGTGTGTGATTCCCAGAATTAAAAAAGCAGAGTTTTTCCCCAAAGGGTGGGCTTGTAACTGTTGCTCCCCACTTTGCCCACTGTGCATTTCTCTTCCTCCTGTCCCAGCAGCAACTACACTGCTAAACAAAACCTGAGACAGTAACACAGAATCACAGAATTACAGAATAATGAGGTTGGAAGAGACCTCTAAGATCATCAAGCCCAACCTATGCCCTAACACCACAACTAGACTATAGCACCAAGTGCCAAGTCCAGTCTTTTTTTAAACATATCCAGAGATGGTGATTCCACCACCTCCCTAGGAAGACAATTCCAGTATTTTATTATTCTTTCAGTAAAAAATTTTTTCCTAATATCCAACCTACACAATGACTCATCCTTTCCTGGGATTATTTTTGTATTTCCTAGGATCCTTGAGGATTTCCACCTATCTGATCATTAGAAGCTAGCAGCCTGAAGTCAACATTACACATAGTGACTTGACTGGCTGGAAAGAAGCAGCAAAGAAAGAAGACATCATATATACTGTCCTATCTGGAAGCTGAGTTGATCACTGAAATTACAAACACAGTGTTTGCTACCTGGTCTAGGCCCTGAATCTTAAAATGTAGAACTGGAGGGACCACCTGGTCAGAGGAGGATGTTATGTCAGACAAAACCTTCTTTGCCCATGCCATTCTTGGTATTGCTCCTGAGAAAAATGTATTTGTGTTCTTCCAGTTGAGTTTTGAAAATGTCCATGGATAGAAGCTCTGCAGACTCTCTTGGGATTCTTATCCAGTGCCTAATTGCTCTTGCAGTAGAAAAGGATTTAATTTTTTGCCAACATCTGTCTACAATTTCACTTGCAAGAACTCTGAGTTCATTGCCCTCTTCCTGTCACCTGGTTTTTCTTCTCTTATCCAGTTGTTCCAACTCCTTTTTCTCTGTCTGGAAAGACCTGCTGGACTCAAAATCACAGGACTCAAACCACACAGGACTGGCAAAATTACTGGGGAAGAGCAATAGGTCTCCAAGCAGGTGACTAAATAAAGGCAGTAGCAGCCACAGTTTGGAAAGAAGAATTGTAAGTAATTTGTACAATATAGAAATAATTTACTTTATTTCACTTTTTTTCTAATCCTGGAGTGTTTTCTTCTGTGTTTTCTGGGAATGTGTGAGGTGGGGTTAAATATATAAGTTAGGAGGAGATGGTAACAAAGGTCAGTAGTGGAAGCCTTGTGCCTATCGTACTCTTTGCCTGAGCTGTCAAAAGGCATGGATTTTGTCAATAGTTTTTGTGCTCATCTTAGAGTATTCACAGTTCAGAGTAGTCTTCTCTGTCTTCATCCATTTTTATTGTGTCTTTTTAACACAGATAAATTGCTTAGCTGGCCAAAAGCCATTATTCCATGGCTGGATGTCACACGCTGAGCTCCTGTGTCACTACTGTGGCAGTCTTAAAGAGACTGAGCTTGTCATGCTTTTGGTAACAGATAAAGACACTGCACTATTCTTAAGAGCTGAGACCTAATTCTGCTCCTCTGCCAGGCTGGAGTGGAGCTCCTCTCCTGCCATCCCAGGCTGTACATCACTGCCAGCCCAAGCTGCTGATCCGGTCATTTCCAGACTTAAATTTCCAGGTGCTTGACCCCCTCTGGCTGGGCAGCAGCAGGCTGCTCAGGAGGGCTGAGCACTCCTGGCCATTGCCTTGCAGCTCCTCATCTTTGTGAGGTGTTGAAGGCTCCAGGTGCCCTCTGCCTCTGTGCTTGTTTTGGTTGGGACAGAGTTGATTTCTCGATAGAAGTTAGTATGAGGCTGCCTTTCTGACTGTCCCCTTCCCTCCTGGGGGATGTGCAAGTAGCTGAGTGGTGCTTAGTTGCTGGCTGGGGTTAAACCATGAGAGCATCTGAGCACCTTTGCAGGGTTCTGTCCCTGCCCCACAGTAAATGCAAGCCTACCTCTGGGTCTACCTTCTTAGTCCCCATTTTACTGATGGGACAGACTGCAGGGGGTCCTCTGCTGATTTTTTGTTCAGCTGATGAGTGCTAGTGTTTAAGGTGTTTCTCAGTCTTCTTTCTGTCTGAATGTTTGTATCAGGATCACTAACAGTATTCTCTTTTCTTTTGGCTTGGATGAGCATTTGTTAGTGCATCTGAAATACTCCTTCTTACCAGAGTGCATAGCATTTTGGATTGTGACTTTTATGTCATATATTTACTAAGAGTTCTGACTGTCAAGCTGAAAAATCAACAATGGAGATTTAAAACTTAGGACTCAGTGTTCAGAACAAGTATTTTGCTGGTTCTAGAGCTGTGGCCTGTCCAGAGTCTGGTAAACACTTTTGTGTGTCTGTCTGCTTGTGTTACTGAGGATATGAGGGGTGATGTTTGCTCTGTTATTGTAGGCTCAATATGAATTATTTATTTGTACATTTAACTTTTTCTAATTTACACCAAAAAATCTGATCCAACCAAAACATTGACTGGTCCTTTTTTTTATTATTATTATTATTACTTGTTTGGGATACTGGAAATGTGTCATTGCAAGCTGGGCTTTTTAGTAGTTTAGTAGTTTTGATTTATACTTTGCTTGATTTCTGAACATAAAACAGGAGTTCATGGGGCTTTTAGGGTGTTTTGGGGTAATTTTTATTTTTAAAAGAAGGCTTTGAACTAAACTTTTGAGATAAATTTACAGAAGCATTTTTGACCACAGCAGCTGCAGTTTAGTTCAGTCAATTAAAACAGTGTATTCTATATTTTTGCAGTTATTGTCTGTGTCATGTTTGTTGCTTAATTTTTTTTTTATCTAAAGTTACATGCTCTAGTGATACATTGTCTGTCTTGTTTTCTGTATTTCCCTGGATGAAAAGAAGCCAAATAAAGCAAATTGACCATATGGCCACATAATTCCCTTCATTTGTAGCACAGTGTTTGTGAGATTTTATAAACCAATGAAAGAAGTATCATTCATGAACTCTAAGTGTGTGACTAATTCCTCTGGAAAAGCAGTAGTGACCCAGTGTACTCTTTAATACATGTGGCCTTTTGAAATCAATTGTGAAACCACAATAATTTTTGTTTGTCGTGACATCAACTTGCACTTTTCTTCTTAAAAGGTGTAGTAATGAGAAACTTGAATATAGTTAAAAGGATGTGTCAATGCTACTGTATCCCTAGAGGAGCTGAGTGCCATGGGATTGTGTACTAGATCTGCTTGTCTGAGCTATATTTGATGGTAAAATACAATAGGCAGTGCTTTCCAGAGATTGCAACATAAACATTGTATTTTCTCAAGGGTACAAATGGTTGCTGTTGACAGCTTCTGAAGAGCTTTCTCCTGGATGCTGGCCAAAGGTGCAAATCTTGTTGCTGCAATACCTCACTCACCCTGAGTGATGGGAGATTGTAGTTCCTTCTCCTGGGAATTTGGTGCTATAGAACAAGGCATTACAGTTTTAAACCAAAAGAGGGTCAATTTAGATTATGTGTAAGGAAAAAATATTTTACAATGAGAGTGGTAAAACACCAGAGCAGGGCTGCCAAGAGAGATGGTGGATGCCCCATCCCTGGAAACATTCAAGGCTGAATGGGCTCTGAGCAACCTGATCTAGTGGAAGATGTCCCTGATCTTTGCAGAGGGGGTTGTGAGGTGGTTTGTGCTAACAGAGCAGGGCAGGAGCCAAAAAGTGGGGACTGAGGTGTGCTAGCAGAGTTAAGTGGCCTTAGAAAGAGTAGATTGGCCACCCTTAACTTCACAAAATGCAAACATGTGCATAACAGCATGTTTCCTCAGGGAAACCTCAAGGTCACTGTAAAATCCATAAAAGGTTGCTTTTTTGGCTGACAGCCTGTTTCTTAGAACTTGTCAAAACGTTTGCTTTGGTTTTCAAGTCGCAGTGTATTGTTTAATTCCTACAGATGTCTCCTGTCTTTGTGTTATTTTATCCCTGACATGTTCAAGGATGTCATTACTCTAAATTGTGCTGACGTAAGTGACAGGAAGGTAAAGTGTCTGTGAGGGGTAACATAACCACAGTGATGCAGAGTGGGTCTTCAAATCACCAATATGCAGGGCTTGGTTCCTATAAAAGATAAAATTTAAAAAAAAAAAACAACACTTCTGATCACACTGTGAGAATGACTTTTCCTTTTTGCCTTGGATATTTTGAGTGTTTTCCCATTGCCTTGCCACACTGACCACCCAGCCCAAGGTCATGTAGCTGCCTCTGAAATAGTGAATTCATGCCTGTGTTTTTTCCTTTATCCTTTCCTTATCCTTCACCAACCCATGAATTTTGCCTCTGCACATTGGTCCAATTTCCAAGTCTGAGAAGTAGACTTGGGATGCTTCTGGGTGACTTTTCCATATCATGTCACACCATGTGCACACCTGCTTCACTTCTGTGTCTCCCACCTGCTGCTCTGCTAACTAAAATGTTGTTTGTTCTGAAAGCATGGTGGCAGCTGCTCTCAAAGTCTGTTACATAACAATATGTCAGGGAAGGAAGCTAAGCTAGAAGCTAAGAGGATATATGGTGGGGGTTTGTCTGGATTTTTTTTCCTTAAGATGGATTGAAGTTAGTAGCAGAATCCACACTGAACAAGAATTTTCGTGTTGATGACCAGTATTTTTTCATCCAAAAAGGCTTAAAAGTTTTTCAGCTTCAAGTTGAAAGCACTTAGATTGTATTTTGACAACCATGAGCATCCTGGGAGATGGTAATAAAGGGAATTTGGTGCTGAGTCACTCTGCCTGCAGGAAAGAAGTGTGGTCACCTGGACAGGAAGAACTGGGAAATAAATAATAGGATTGCAGCCCCAGCCTCACTAATCTGGGTTTCCTTAGAGGAAAAGGAGGAGACATATTTCCTTACTAATTCCAGTCTGATTAATTACTTCTGGAAAACAATGTAGCTGAGTGTAGTGGTTGATAAAAGGAAGTTTCCTACTTCTCACTTAAAACAGAGGTTAAGCAGGTTGGTCCTTGCTGATGAAGTATTGATCAGACAGAATGTTTTTGTTAAGAGTTTGTTAATATAATTTGATAAGGAAACACACAATGAGAGAATGATTTGTATTATATTTTATCCACTCCTAAAGTAATCTTGATTTCAACTTCTTTCCTCCTGATTTTGCCCTTCCACTGCTCAGGCTTCCCTGATTTATTGTTCCTCTTGGTCCTGGACAGGTTCCTTCCTGATCATTCTTGTTCTTTGCAAAGGACTTGGCCTGAGGTGTGCTATTTTCTTGCTTCTGTGGATACCCTCTCTGTCTGATCTTTCCCTTTCCCTCTCTGGTACTTGGGTGCTCATCACTGGAAGGTGTTTTCATCTTCCTGGTTCACAGTAACCACAAAGTGAAAATAGCTCCTGTGAAAGCTTGTCCTTGTTTCCAAACCTGGAAGCAGCCCCTCAAGGAAAGACAACATGGACACCAGTAGACAGACCTAGGGAAAATGTCCCTGCTGTGGATGGGATATCTGTCTGTCTGTCTGCAGGAGCTCCAGAGAGTCCAGATCCTGGGCACACACTGCCTGGAGCTCATGTGGAGCCCACTGACATGTGTTCACCTCCCTTGCTGGGCTGCCTGATCGTTCCATCAAAATGTACAGAAAAAGAAAACGTGCAACTAGGGAGCTGAGCAACATGGTCGATGTCTCAGCATGGAGTAAAAGGAAGGCAATACTCTCACCACTGCTGCATGCCTTAAATTTGATTTCTGTTAAGCAATTGGTTATTTCAGCTGACTAATCCCATCTAGGGATGATAAATATTGGCATTCTCTGGTGTCCTTTATCATGTCACACCTGGGATAAGATGGCTCAGTTACTTAGAGCATGGTGCTAGTGAGGCCAGGGTGGAGGGCTCAATACCCATATGGGCCATTCATTTCAGAGCTGGATTTGATGATCCTTGTGGGGTGCCTTCCCACAACTCAGGATATTCTGTGATTCTGTGATAACTTTGAAATTCACTTAGTAAGTCTTGTTTCCTTTCTGGACTAAGAAATCTGTGATGATGAGAGAAGCAACTAGGAGAACTCATTAGGCTTTGATGGAAACACAAGAGGATACTTTCTTGGACAGCGTGGAAGGCATAATGTTGGGAATGAGAGATTAGAAGGCTTGGGGTGAGAGAAAGCTGGCTTGTTTCCCTGACAGCTCTGAGTGTCCCAGCAGAGTTGGATGCACTGGTGAGATGAGAGACAGCTTCTGTGTCCTGCTTTGTCTCCAAGTGATGCACCTGGAGTCAGGTAGCTACTTGTGCTGTTGTCTATGTAGAAGAACAGGATTGGAGTTGAGTCAAACAAAGGTAAATGTGTTCTGTTTCACCTGAATTGATAGTAAGATCTCAGATTAATTATTCAGGAATATTTTTACACATAGGTATATAATGCTTCCTGGGATTGATATTTTAATTTTAGAACTTTCAGGGAGTTTGTCACAATTTATTTATCTTGAATAGGGTAAGGGTGCTTGGCCAGGGTTCTTCTATTGTGAACAGTTCCCCTCTCCCACTGCCCTCAACACTCCCATCTCTTCCTAATTTGCAGCTGAGAGTCCTTCTAAACTGATTTGGGCACCAGAGGGGATAAATCTTACTGCAACCTTTTGTAGTAATCATGATCTGAGATCCTTTTCCCATTTGCTTCACTGGAAAGAGGATTTGTTGCTGTGCCTGCAGTGGCCAGCCATGTTTTGGTTTGGCTGCCTGTCAGAACTGCAGTGTTTGCACAGTGGCAGTCTGGCCACACAAGCAACTGAAAAACTGAAATTGGAGAAATCCTTGAGTAGGTTGGCTGCTTCCTAGGCAAAAGTTGAGTTTTCCCTGGAAGAGCAGAAATCCCAGTGTCAAGGAAGAGTAAAAACACAAGTTCATAAGGCTTACATGGGAGCTGTTTGGTGGTCTACTAAAAATGAGAAGCATTGAGGGGAAATGCCTCCAGTATGGTCCTGTCCCCTAGAAATCAGTAAGGGAGCAGAGGTGGCATGAAGGCTGTGATGGACAAACAGCATCAGGCTACAGAGATTACTCAGCATAGCCTTGTCTAACTATCAAGGCTGGAGTTTTTGCCACAGTTTCCCAGTTGTATTTCCTCTGAAGTGCTTTTTGGGACTGTTCAGGATCATGCGAGATCTGGACTCCGAGTCTCCAGACACATATTGTATCTGTGCTTTGCAGACCAAATTTCTGTGAGGTATGTTAATCTGATACTAAATTTGGGAAAGATTAAACTCTCTGCTGTGGGATAAATGTTGTGCCTAACAGCCCATAAAAAGGGCTTATTATGCCTTTATTTTTTGTCATGTAAGTAGCACTTCCATCTATGGGAATAATCTCATTCCCAATAGGAGTAGGAATTGTGTCTTTGCTGGCAACCCAGATATTGTCCCTCTCCCTTCTGACGCAGCTTTCCATGTTAAATATAGCCAAGAGAAAGAACCTAGGGGTAAAAATTAACTCTAGAAAACTGTATGGGCACTCTGAAATTTTTTTTATACTAAAACCAGGGAAGACAGAGCTATTGAGAAAGATCAGATATGGAAATCAGAAATGTTTTATGTAAGCAGCTGACAATCAACTGGAAGAGATTTTTAGTTTCCTGGAAACAATTCTCAGGATGTTTTCCCCTTGTGTTTAAAATGAGGTTTCTGCTTCAAGATCTTCCCTTCTCAAACTTTTCTGTATTAGTTAAAAGGTTGGTGCTTTAATATACAAGGGAAGACATTGCTGGAAACTACACAATTGTTTCTTCTGTTCATTATGACCTTTTTAAAGTCTGAAAATTTGAGGGGTTAAGTGCTAAAAAATAGGCATAAACTTACTTTCTATCAACCTAATTTGTATCATGTGGCTAATAGGACAAATTATTTAATGTTAGCTGTAAATGCTCTGGTCCATGGTTTAAGTTCACTCTTGGGGTTGCAGAGGAAGATTCAGTTTAATATCCTTGCTTTGTTTGCTTGCACTGGGTGCAGAGTGGCTGTTTGGATGGTGTGTGTATAATCCATGCCATTATGGAGTGGGCTTGGGCAGGCACAGATTTCATAATAATTAGAATTTTGTATTTCTAACTGGTTGTATTGGTACACATTTATTAGCTTTTCCTGCCGAAATATCTGGGAGAGCTTTAGAACTGAGAGCACTTGTATCCTTTTGAGAAAGTAATTGTCTTTACTCTGAGCTGTTTCTCAGAGTAAATTCCACTGAACAGACATTTGGAGAAGTTGGTCTATTTTTATAACTCTGTCCCAAAAACACTGTCTGTTTTAGTTCAGATTTGGTATGATTTAGCTGTTTAGAAAACATTTTTGTCCGCTGGCACACACATATATGGTGCATTCTATTTTTGAAATTAAGAGTTTATTCAACATTTATAATTATTGTGTAAATAATGTTGACTCAAGAAAAGAAAATATTACTTCATCATCTTCACTGCTATAATTTTTGCTTCTAAAAGTAGGGCAAATATAAACAATTGTGGGGTTTTGCCTTTCCCACTGAAATGGTGGAAAGTTCCTTCTGTGGAATAAATAAATATTTTATAACTGAAGTATTTCAAGGTTTAATAAGTCTTTCAGTTAAAATATTCCTTAATGTTTGATTTTAACTTTAAAAATTGCTATGAACCCTTTTATGCTAAGGATAGATAGTTTGTGAACAAACCTAAATAATGTAAAATTCTACATCTTCAGACTCTAAATTGCTGCTCTGGCTGGATAAGAGACTACAGTAGAGGGAAAATAGAGAGCAATGATTAGGATGTATAACAAACCGAGTAAGCTTTTCTGAGACACTAGGTAGAGGTTTTAGAATGCCACTGAGACTTTAGGTAGAGGTTTCACAAAGCCACCAGGAAAGGAGATTCATAAAAATATGGAATAAAAAATGAATTTATAAATATATGAAAGACTCATTATTTGTCAGAATCTGAGGTATTGATGATTCTGAGATTGTAGAAAGTCTCTGTCTGTCAGCCCCGCTGCCAAAGCAGAAGCCATAATTCATCTGTGCTGGTTTCAAGGTTGTTTATTCTGTTTATCTCTAACATGTTCTGCTGCCCTGCCACAGCTCTGTCCTGCAGGGCAGCGTGTGGGGCTCTGCCCTCAGTGGGATGTTACAAACATTAAATACCAGAAACTACCTGTGCTGGATTTACAATAACGTGCCAATATCTGTCACCTACGTTGGACAGTGTGTCCCCAGCCTGAACCAACAGAAAAATGCCAACACCACAGTGAAACATGGAGGGCATGAAGAAGGAGAAAAAGGACAAGACACACCCAATTTCCTCCCTCTTGTCCCCTTTGAGCCCCTTATCTAGAATCCGAAAATTTTACTTTTGCACCCGTGACACACTTAATTATTACTGATATCAAACACTCAGAGCTTGTAATTCATCCTGTAAGATTGAAAACTCTTTTCCATGGGCAGAGATCACAGACAGTGTCTCTGGGGGCTCTGTCCAGGGGGGTTCCTGACCCCTGCCAGGGTCCCAGACCTGCCAGGGCAGCCAGAGGGAAGCCCTGGATTCCCACAATAAATATTAATGAGGATTGTGAAATATAAAATAAAAATATGAATTCATAAAAATATTCATCTCTTTTCACAGTGGCATTCTCAAACCAATAACTATGTGGAAATGGAATTGCCTCTTACCTGACTTGAAGAGGAATTGTCTTGAAGGAAGAGCCAAGAGCAACCTCCACAAGACATGGAGCACTGACAGACACACGATGGTGGAGCCAAGCCCCTTGGTTAGAGAAGACACTCTCAGCCTGCCCTGTGTGACCTGAGGTGCCATCAGCACTGGGCTATAGAGCAGGAGAGGAACTACAGCAGGTAGTAAACACAGTTATGGGAATTACGAGGATTACAGGAAGAGTGAGTTTGCTTTTGTGAAGAGGAGTTGAAGGAGGCCACTTCTTACTTTCATGGAGAACATTTTGATGGGAGTGCAAGTCAGAGATCAGCTGCAATTTGAAGTACAGGAGGAGAGCCCATCTGGAAAGTCTATGCCCATAGGAACCTGATACAGGACTTCTCATTTTTGCTGCCTGTGTGAACTCACCTGTTTCCAGGTTGTTTTGGTGATGGCTTCTGTGCTAAAACACCCCAAACCAGACCCACACAAATTCTTATGTGTACGAGATAATTTCCGTTTATATGACTTTAGTTCTAGATATGTCGTTCATTCTAGATAATAGAATCAAATAGAAATATGTGGAAATATAGATGTTTGGGTTTTATTCTTGCAGAAAAACCTAAAGAATACTCCAGATCCTTTCTTGGGGTACATGTAGTCTTATATTGCCCTCTGTTTTAAGATGAACATACCTACATGCAACTACTACTTTACTGTGCTGCTTACTGACTTCTGTGATAAAATCCTGAGATGACTGCAGCTTTGATTTCATGTAGCTCTATTTACTAGACAAGAGCTTCCACTGATAAACAGAATGACTTGTAAACTCAAAAAAAAAGGTGGGGTTTAGTTAGTATTTAAGCTAGGAGTCTTCACATTCTAGAAAGAGGAAACAGGTGACAGAAGTAAAGGGCCTGTGTGTATCCTGTTCCCAGCTTGTTGTGTCCTTGTAGGCAGGTTCTTGCTTCCAGCAGTGCTCTCTAGGTGCATTGATGTGGAATCCTCTGACTCCTTCCCCTCAGCAAAGACTGTTATCACAGAGTTTTCCCCACCTAGGCTGACAGAGAAGACTCAACCCATGGTGCTCTGCAGCACTACTGCCAATCTACATTAGACTGCCTCCCCCACTGGCCAGTTGATGCTGCCCACCCCAAATATTCATCAAAGGCCCTTTCTTTGCCCACCCCTGTGCCCTCAGGCCTTTGGTCACTGACCCCATACTCAAATTGTGCAGACCACACGGTTTGGGCTTTTATCTCTGGTCCCTTTGGCATGCTGGATGCAATAAACCCTTGCTGGAATATCTCATGCAAAGACCTTTCCTGTCCTTCCTCCCCTGAGCTATCTGTGCCATGTGTGTATGGACCTTTCTGAAATGGCTGCTCTTATGGCCTTACTCTTGAGTGACTTCTGAAGGAGACATTTCAAAGAAGGTCGCAGCATTTCTGCCACCCTGCCATGCTGCAGCACATTGAGTCCAGGTTCTCCAGGATATCTTGTCTTCCAGAAGGCAAATATCTGGTTTTACTACTACGTAATCTTTCCTAGTAGTCATTAGAGAAATACTCAGACCACTGAGTCATCTGGGAGAAAAATATATGACAACAGAAAGCACAATACTAAAAGAAAGAGATGTGATATAACCCAGTTGTTTAAATCCAATTAGTTCAGGCTGGGAAAAAAAATTTTGGTATTAATGTGGAGATTTAGAATTTGTTTCTCATGTTATTTGTTCTCCATATGATGAAGCACTGTAGTGTAGCAAAGTACTAAGAATTACACTTTTCTGGCCTTACTTGGATGAAAAATTGTTTTGTCCTGTGGGAGTAGTAATTACAATTTTTCATGGATGAAAAATTGTTTTGTCCTGTGGGAGTAGTAATTACAATTTTTCATGGATGAAAAATTGTTTTGTCCTGTGGGAGTAGTAATTACAATTTTTCACTAAATCCTGATTTTGAGTGTGTGTTTTCTTTCTCATCCATAGTCTCCAGGGAGTTAGCTTCCAGCAACCCCTTGGCTTTTCCACATCCTGAGAAAGTTTAGATTGCTTTCTTCACAGCATTTCTTTTTCCCTGCCCAAGCAGTTGTGCAGGAAGGGGTGCAACCACAAGTTTTCCTTGTTGCCTGTGATCTATGCTGTTGACAAAATGACCCAGTCCAGAGAGGGAGTGGAAGGGCTGAAACATCTCAGTCTTGCAGCAAAACTTTTGAAATGGTTATCACTCATCTTTGTTTTTCCTAGAGGTTTCTGGTGGCTACCACTAATTTCCTACGAGCAGAGTTCTGAGGAAGGGCAGACAGCAGATGTACATCTGGGTGTGGGTTGCTTCCTGAGCTATTTTCTTATTTTGTAGCCTTCACTATTTGAATCCATGAAAGGTATCTGAAAATTGCCAAGGGGAATAGAATGTGCATCTGTGAGTTTTAGGTCACAAGAAGTGATTAGGAGGGGAGGAGGAGTGAGAGACAGAGCAGGTCACTGATGTGGGTAGGAAAGGAACTTGTATTGTTACTTTCATGATTCTGATTCACAGACAGGTTTTCTCTGTCCCCATCCTGTATATTCTCTGTTCTTGTGCCTTAACTTTTTTCACTACCCACATTCTCCATTTTTTTTTTAACTTCATAATTTGTTGGGCTTTTTGACTGTTCACTTGCTACTGTTTTTGTTGTCCCCTAGGCCACACACAGTGCAATGAGAATAATAAGCCAGCTGTGCATATTTTCCAGTGGATTGCATGCAATTGGAGGTGTTGCTCAGATGCCTGCAGATCTTTATTGGTGGGTTTCAGGCTGGTGTGGTTGTAATAGAAACATTCCTTTAGGGCTGAAGAAGAATGTGGAGACTTGGGTGTGGACGACTTCATGACACAGATTTTCAGCCACGGACAAACATGATGTGAGTGTTGTGATCAGTCCAGTGTGTGCCATCAACCCTTTAGAGGAGGATTTATTTTTAAAATTACAATATTTGTACAATATTAAATATTTTAAATATCAAATGTTTTAATATTTATTTTAACAATAAAAGGCAAAAAAGTGTGAGGGAGCCCCATTTTTTCCAGAACCTGTTACTGAAAATATGATGAAAAGATAATTATGAAGGAAACAAGTGCAGACTGTACACCCTAGTATTTCACAAGTGACTTTTTTTTAAATGACTCAGTACACATCAGAGAAAAAAACATGGCATTAAAGCGTTTCACTTCCAGAACCTCTGGAAGCTCTGATTAAATGTCATAAATTGTAACTTTTAGAGAATCAGAGAAGCTCTCATTAAATGTCATAAATTGTAACTTTCCTTGTTATTTTTTCCAGTTTGGTTTTGGTTTGGCTTTGGGGTTTTTTGGTGTTTTTTTTCTTTTTTTTTTTTGCTGATATGTAGATGTTTTGCCATTTTCTTTTTTGAGAACAATTGAAAAGCTGTGAAGATAAAGAAGGAAATACTTTGTACCAGTACTGATGACATCCATTCTGGGAAATAATTCATTATAAATCAGTTTTTAGGAAGCTAGGGGAAATGCTTTCAGACCTGTACTGTAGTATCACATTCTGCTTTCACGTAGGTAAGTGCAGCTGTGCTGAAGTCCTGGAGCAGCATCAATGCCATGTGTACTCTGTTAACTCATTTTAACAATGCCCTGAGATGCCTCTGAACAGTGACTGTATGTTAGAAACCAGTGGAAAATCCCTCTTTCCAGGGATAATTAATTTGACTAGGTCTAGTCCCTTCCCTCATGCGAAGCTCCTGCACAGCACAGCTATTCTCAGACTTTTGGAAAACCTTTTGCAGGGTAAGCTGGATGGCACCTTGTTAGGTCCCATGAGCGAGGCAGAGGTGCAAGAAGGGAGAGTCAGAGGTGTGTGGTAACTGTGTCACAGCACCCCTCAGTTGCCAGTCAAGGCAAATTGATCCTCCACCTCAGTCAGTGGTACCTTCCTCACGAGTTTTTGATGGGAGCTAGCACTGAACTAAGCACACTGCTCACTTTTACTCATTAATATAAAATAGAGGGTGTTTTATGCATGTGCATAAAGCATTTCTATTATTCAGAGCCACATTGTGAGTTTGAATCCTGCCCTGCCATCCTGTAGGATATGATTGAAACACCAGTCCTTAGGTTTTGCTGTTCACCAAAACACTTATTTTATTCATCTGAAATGCTTGGCCAGCAATGCACACAGTATGAGAGACAAATAGGATGAACTTGAAGCACTGGTCTGTTCCCAGTCCTGTGATGGCATTGGTGTCAGCTAGATGTGGTGGGATGAGCACCACAGGCAGGGCATGTGCAGTGGAGGAGTTGCACTGTGTGTGAGGGAGAGGTGTGGCTGTACAGTCCTTACAGTTAGAAATTATATGTTTGGGAGCTTCTGGATGAGGAATGGTGGGGATGGAAAACAAAGTAAATGTTGTAGTGGGTGTCTACTATGGGTGGCCCAGGCAGAATAATAGGATTAATGAGTTATTCTATAGGCAAGAGAAATATCTGGATCAGCAGCCTTTGTCCTTATAGGAGATTTTAACTTCCCAGACATCAGCTGGGAATACCATCCTGATGTGACAAGCAAGTCTGGGAAATTCCAGTGGTTTGTTGAAGATAACTTCTTGATCCTATTTCATTGAGTCAGCTAGGAAAGATTACATCCTGGACTTGTTATTTGTGACTAAAGAAGGACTCAAGGCGGATGTGGCAGTCGGTGACTGTCTTGGCCACAATGATCACAGAATGGTTTAGAATTGTCACAGCAAGGGTTTAAAATTGTCACTGTAATGAGAAAAAAATAATTTCTACCCTGGACTTCAGGCAAGCAAACTTTAAGCTATTCATGGAGCTATTTAGCAGAGTCCTCTGGGAATCTGCTTTTGTGGGCTTGGGGGTCCACAAGTGCTGGTCAGTTTTCTACAGCTGCCTTTTAGAGGCACAGGAGCAGACAAATCCCCTGTGTTTTAAGTCAAATAAGCAGAGAAGGAGACCAGCTCAGCCAAACATGGAGCTCAGGAGGCAAAAGAAATGTCATAATCTCTGGAAGCAAGGTCAGGCTTCACAGGAAGATTGCAGAGCTCTAGTTTGTATATGCAGGGAGAAGACATGTAAGGCCAAAGCTGATATAGAGTTGAAACTGGCCAGTGCTAGGTCAGATGACAAAATAGGCTTTTTAAAGTATATTAGTAGAGCAAGGAAGTCTCAGGAAAACATTGAACCACTACTTATTGAAGATGATCACCTGATAAATAGGAATTAAGGAAAAGGGAAAGCATACAATGGTTTTTTTATCTCAGACCCTAATGATAGACCTTGGGTTGCCTGGTCCCCTGAGTCAGAGGACTATGGCTGTAGGAACAGTGACTTTTCATTGCAAGGAATCAGTTGCCTCAGTTGAATGTTCTTAATCCCATGAGGCTTGATGGAAGTCATCCCAGAGTTCTGAAGGAAGTGAGTATGTTGTGACAGGACCCCTCTTGATCTCCCAGAGATCTTGGGAGTCTGGGGAGGTCCCCTCTGACTGGAAGCTAGACAGTGTTATTCCAATTTAAAAGGACATGAGTGAAGACTCAGGAAAGTACAGACCTGAGTACCTGGAAAAATTACGGAGAAGACCATGCTGCATACTACTGAAAGTCATTTAAAGAACAATGCAATCATCAGGCACAGTCAACATGGGTTCACAAAGGGAAAGTCCTGTTGAACTAATTTGGTATTTTTCTGTGAGGTTACCCACCTAGTGGATGAAATAAAGGTGGTGGACATAGTCTTTATAGATTTTAGTGAGGCTTTTGATACTGTCCTTCATGGCATCTTTTTGGACAAGCTGTCCAGCTGTGGGATGGGCAGGTTTGTGATGTGTTGGGTGATGATCTGACTCAGCAAGGTCCAAGGGCTGTAGTGAATGGCACTACATCTGGCTGGTGTCACAGCAATGCTCCTCAAGGCTCAGCTCTAGGCCCAGTTCTCTTTATTGTATTTAGCAGTGATCTGGATTCTTTATTGTACTTATACTTATTCTGGATGCAGGAGTTGAATGAGCCAATAGCAACTCTGCTGGTGATAATGCCACCGGCTCTCTGGAGGGAGAAGAGGCCTTGCAGAGGATCTAGATAGATTGGAGCATCAGGCAATGATTAATGGGACAAAATTTCCAATTCCAAAGGCCACATTCTGCACCTGGAATTGAGTAACACCAGGCACAAACGTAAGTGGGGAGAGGGGTGGCTGGAGGGCAGCACTGCAGAAGGAGATCTGGGGGTGCTGGTTTGCTCAATATGAGCCAGAATTGTAATTGTATTGGAGTTCTGTGTGCAGTTCTGGGCCCCACAGTTTAAGAAGGGTGTTTCAATGCATTCAGAGGAGGCAGCAAAACTGGTGGAGGGGCTGGAAGGTACATCCTATAAGAAGCAGCTAAGACTTTTAGTTTAGTTTGAAGGGAAGGAGGCTGAGAGGGAACCTCAAAGCTCTCTACACCTCCCAGAGGAGAGGGAGAGGAGAGAGGGATCTCTTCTCCTTTATATCCAGTCACAGGACAGTGGTTGAAAGCTGCTCCAGGAGAGATGTAGAGTGGACATTAGGAAGTACTTCTTTACTGAGGGAGAGGTCAAACTCTGCAACAGGTTCCCTAGAGTGGTGGTCAATGCCCCATTCCTGGCAGTGTTTGAGGCATCTGGGGAAATGTCTTTAACACTATTTTTCAATGAGCCCTGAATTGGTCAGGCAGTTGGATTAGATGGTTGTTGTAGATCCCTTCCAGCTAAACTATACTGTTCTATTATTTTCTGTCCAGGAAGTTGTTCTACACCCATATTCCCAAGGACATCAGTGTCTAATTTGGGCAGTTACATTCAGTTCTCCTTCAACAAAAATAAAGGAAAAATGACTGCCTTGATTAATATGAGGCTGCTATTATTAAACAAATATTCCAGGAAAGATTGTCAAATTTATAGCTTACAGGAAACTCCAGAGAATGTCTGCATTTAAATAGGTCCCTAGGAGGAGATAAATCCATGAATATCAGTGTTTTGCCAAAGTTAGCTATAAGCACCTGTGTCTACAACTGGTAACTGTTGTGCCATTACTGTACACTGTCATCAAGTATTTATTTAAACAAACTGTAAACTTACTTCTATTTACATAAACTATAAACCAGCAGCCTTCCATTTCCAGGAATAGTATTTAGTAAAAAGAGGGACTAGTCTGTGTTTGCAGTACTTTGTACCCTCTACACGGTCTGCTGGTGAAGCAGAATATTAATTGGAGAAAGATCTGCCAGTGCAAACGTAAATCCTGGTATCTTTTGCAGCAGGTTAGCAATAGAATGCCCGACTCCAGAGTTGTTACCGTCCCTGTCTTATCAGCTACAGCAGAGAGGAAGAGGCAGAGGGTGTAGCTTCTCTTGCTGAAAGATATTATCTTCTCTCTGGGCCAACTGCTCTGAGTGTTCTGTGTCTCAGAGACCCATCTCTTCCTGTGTTCTTCTCATTTTTCCTGAAGAAGACGAGGGCATGGATATGCAAAGTCCTCAGGAGTCACACCTGGGGGTGGGCGCTGTGCCTTGACAGAGGTCAGGAAATGAGTAACCTGCAAACAGGCTGTAACAGCTTCCCGCCTTTTTCTTCTCTGTATTAAGGTATATGAATCATGGGGATAGACAATGATTTTACAGTGATCGCAGAGGGTCAGGAAATGACTAATCTGTAAGGAGGTTGTAAAAGCTTCCCAACTTTTTCTTCTCTTTTTTGATGAATATGAATCGTCACGGGGATAGACAATGATTTTACAGTGGTGGCAGCATAAAGATGGCAGATTTCTGTGCCTGTCAGAAGAGAACTGCTTAACTCATCCTGTCATTTCTTAACCGAGACAACCAATTCTGAAGCAACAGCTGATTTGGTAACGGGCTAGCTGATTTCTAGTAGAAGTCAAAGCAAGCCACACATGAATTAAACCTGCATTTTTAAATGAAGAGAATAAACCACCTGTTCAGACATAGAGGAAATTAAATTTTACAGTCTTACAGAAACGTGTTTTATTCTTTTAAAATCAAAATAACCTATCTGAAAAAAAAAAAAACAAGGTATTTTTTATTGGGTATTTTTTTTCTGAACATTTCCATCAACATTCTAGGGGAACTTTAGGAGACAAACTTCATAAAGCTTTCCTATGGAAAAAAAAGTAAAGGGATCATTTCAGATGACTGCATTAAACATTACAGGTATGTACCACTGACCTGAACTGCAGTGTAAACTATTGAGCAGAGGTGTCAAACACCTTATATGTTTCTTTAGATAAAATAGCTGTTTTCATACACCTGATACTTTTCAAACCTTCTTCCCCCTCCTAAAGTGGTTGGAGCCAGTTTGGCACATTGGCAAACAGAATTCCAGAGGTTGGGATGTGACTGGGCCCATGCTGACCCCTTCCTGCCTTGCTGGGGCCACTTGTCCTTCTGCACTTCCCTTTTCTTTCTGTGGCTGTTGGCAGAGACTGAGCCTGGGGCCTAGACATAGCAAAGAAATTATGAAGTGGCACAGACACCTATGTGTCCATGAAAATTATAGGTTATTGCTCTCTGTGTTGTCAAACCCTGGTAAAATTCCTTCATCTACTACAAATATAACCTTCTGCCAGGAACAAATCTACATTTGCAATAAATTCAGGGAAAACAAGATGACATGGTGGGATTTTTCTTTGTTAAAGGAAGGACATTAAACCCTCTGTTTGGCATCTGAAAATATGTGTTGTGCCTGCTCATTATTTCAAAAAATCTTGCAAGCTCTGGACAGTCTCAGAAGGAGCTAGGATTGTTTATTTCTCCTTATCATAGAATTTCTGCTCTGGAGAGGGCCACAACATGGTCATCAGTTTTAAGAAGAAAACCAGAACTTTGTCATTTATATCTGGATTTTTCTGGAAGACTTGCCAGGTGCTGATTGCTCCCATCTGCTCCAAGACTGCCTCTTGTGTACTGTCAGTGTAGACAGTTCCACTTGTTTCTGTGGGGTTTGTGGCCCCTGAGTGGGTTTGGAATAAATCAAAACTTTCACCAGAGCTGTGTGCCAGATCAGATAACCTAATGAGAGCTCCTGTGAGAACTTGGGGTTTGGTTTAGGGGTTTTGTGTGGTGGTAAAGTTTTTTTTTTTAATTTGTGTTTTTAAAGAAAAACTTTGTAGTTTTTTTGTTGTTTGGTTTTAAGGTAGTTTATTGTAAGTTATTTAAAAGATTGTTTTTTGTGGCTGCGGCTGTTTGGTTAGCAGCCTAGGTAGAGATATATATACTCTTGATACTTTTATTGTTTGGTGGGGTTTTTTTTCCTTTATTTTAGGGTTGTTGTTATTTTTTATATGATTTATTATGTGTTATATGTTTATAGGTTTTTTCTAATACTTATTATTTATGTTATAAGGTGTTTTTTTATTTTAAACTAATTTATAAGTGTTAGTATTATTAAGAACATGGAGGTAAGGAAGAAGAAGGAGGAAGAATAGGATTAGCTTACTTTCTTTTATTTTAGAACTTTTGATTTCTATGTATAAAGTAAAAAAAACCCTGTACAGGTGTTAAAACTCTCTTGTACAATATTAAAATTTTTTTCTTTTATTTTGTAACTACCTTTACTATATTATTTAACTCTTTGTGACTGCTTGTTTTACCTTTAAAGTTGGTAACTCATTCTATGGCTTAAACTTAAAATTACAGCTGTTTTTAGCTGCTTGCTAGGGTTTAAAACGCTTCTGACTAAGGTCTGGAATTTCTAAAAATGTCTGAGGGACATTTGGAGTTCCAACAAGCTCCCAAGTCTTCCTATGAGCTTTACCTATCCTTAACCTCAGGGGCACTGCCTAAGGGGGCCCAAATGCAATGTGTGGATTGTATTTGGGGATGAGTATTTTTAGCTTGGCCAACAGCAAAGCTAAATGAGTGTTTCTGACTGTCTGCCACCCTTTTTCTGTAGGAATGTGGATGTCCCAATTTCCCTCACCAATGAATGAAGCTCTGTAAGAAAGAAAAATACCCAAAGGTCAAGATAGCCTCTCAGTATGTGCAATTTTCTCCATGGTAACTATAATGCAATGGTTTGTGTAGTAATGGCATCCAAGTGATGCTGGGAGTACAGATGATACTAGACAACTTTTAAAACAACTTTTTAAAAGTCTATCTGTATTTAAGAAACAGACTAAGCTACTAGAGAGCGTATCTACTACTTCAGAACAGCAAAACAAAACAAAAATTATTAAAATGTAAAGAAAATCTAACCCTGTGCAACTAGCAAGCAAAGGTACAGTGCTTTACGGAAAAGGAGCAGCTAGCAAAAAGAAATGTTTAGAAAAAGAAATGGCTTTTTGTCCTTAAATATGTGATCACAGAGGCAGTACTAACTTCTCTAGTTGGGCCAGCCAATATGTCCATGGTCAGAGCCTTCAGGGATTGGCTCTGCTGGACATTCTAGAAGTTTTGAGGAGCTTCTCTCTCAGAAGCAACTTCTGTGGCTTTTTCTCCACGCCCACTAAAAGCCAGGTTTTGTTAAACTAACTCAGCTGCTCTTTCCGTGCTTGTACTGATCTCCTGGGTGGAATTTGAGTAAAATTCCTTTCCTTCCTTGTCTACCCTCCTTCATTTCTGCAATTCATGCAAGAGAGATTATCCTAAATGGCTGACCTGCTGTTCTCCTGACTTCACAGACATCTCTCTTTGATGCTAAGTAGTTCAGGATTTAGTCTTCCGTTTTCCTTTACTCTCTACAGTGATGGATGAGGGTTTCTAATGGTTGTCTTTCAGTGATTTTAAGACTTGGTCTCACAGTAAATCATGCCATGGAATTTAACATTCTTGCCCCACACATATTTTAAGTTTTATGATGGAAAGAGATTCATTCTGGATGCAACAGCCTGTATGGTATGTCTGCTACCCTCAAATGCCTGCTTAGACAAATATGAAACTATGAAAATACTCTTTTCTATTATTATTAATTTTCTTCCTTCTGGTCCATTTACCAACTACCCTCAGAAGGTGCTTATACCAGAAAATGCTCAGGACAAGCAGAATCATTTTTTTCTGTGCAGCGGAAGAGAAAACTGTGATTGAACCTCTTGCTATCACTAACATTTATACTTATTTCATTTGATATGAAAACTAATGTTAGCTGGCTTGACTCCAGCCTGGGGGAAGCATGGGGAGTCCCTTTGGCAGGGAAGAAAGGCACAGCTTGTGCTTAATCCTTGCCATTTCTTGCCATCTAGTGGCCTGCCAAAGCACCAGTCCTGGGCCTCGCAGCTCACACCTTTAAAATCCTCATCAGAAGGGAAGGAGGGTGCTGCATGCCCAGGAAAAAGAGCACTGAGAGGCAAATTCTGCCCCTGCACAGCCAAGTCACCTCCATCCTCCCCTCCTGCTCTTCTCTGCCCATTCTCTCTTCCCTCCAGAGGATGCAGGTGGCAGAGGCTTTGGTCACTCATTGTCACCTTGTCTAGGATGGAAAGGGCTTTAAAGTTTTATTTGGTGTTTGCTGAATAACTAAGTTGGGCTTTGGCCAGCACTGAAGTGGAGATGATGGAAAGACAGCAGGGGTTTTTTTGTTCTTGGTGCTAGTGGGCTGGGTGGAATAACACCTTCCAGGCTTGAACACCTTGATGTGGTCAGGTTAGATTAGGAAGGCGAACTTGGATGTTGACATCTGTTACAAGAGCAAATGCAGGTGAGTGCATTGGTCTGACAGTCCCTAAATCCCCCATTGTGGGAACTGCACAAGTCGTTTTATCTGTACATTTTTGGTACATTGAAAATATTTCAAGTGTAAACTCCAGAGTTTGTTTTTTTTTTTCAGATTCAGGTTATCAGGGTTTTATTTAGATAAAACATTTCCCAGAGGAAGTATGATGCTTTGACACATTCATCTAAAAATTCCCTGCAAGTAGAGAATGAAAGGGAATAGTATGCTTTGAAAGCCTGGTACTTTCCACCTTATTTTCTACAGTAATCAGATAAAGTAAAAACAGGAGATTACATTGTCTTTTTTATTTAGATCCTTTCCCACCCCCCACACAGAGGAAGGGAAGGGAAGGGAAGGGAAGGGAAGGGAAGGGAAGGGAAGGGAAGGGAAGGGAAGGGAAGGGAAGGGAAGGGAAGGGAAGGGAAGGGAAGGGAAGGGAAGGGAAGGGAAGGGAAGGGAAGGGAAGGGAAGGGAAGGGAAGGGAAGGGAAGGGAAGGGAAGGGAAGGGAAGGGAAGGGAAGGGAAGGGAAGGGAAGGGAGGGAAGGGAAGGGAAGGGAAGGGAAGGGAAGGGAAGGGAAGGGAAACATCAAAAATAATAGCTGTTGAGGTACAGCCAGTTGACCACACTACAAACTCGGCATCTGAAAATATATACAATTAATTTCTAAAAGTTCGTTACATGCAGGAAGAGACAGCAAACCAGAGACTACAGAGATTGACAAAATTTATTTTTTTATTCCCCACTTTTATTGACTTTTCAAAGAAACCCACCACAAATACCATCCAAGTTGGAATATACTAGTATGCTACCACTGTTAAAAAAAAAAGGCATGAAAAAAAAGTATAGTTGAAGGCTATTAAATTCTGATACATGTGGATGTTCACTTAAGAGTCCTTATTATTCTAGGACAGTGGAAGTACAGTAGATATTCGGTGTTAGCTCATTTTCCAGCTCATGAAGAAAAACAAGAACTGATCAGTGCATCTGCCTTTTCTTTAAAAGCCAATCAGCAATAAATAGATGGTGTCATTGTCATGCAGGAATGATTGTGGTCTCTCTGCTTAGTTTGGCTTCTGAGTTTTCATGGTTTTAGGCTACTGGATGGCTGGGGAGTTTTGGCAAAAAGAAACTCTGAAAGGTGGAAGTTCACTCTATTAGAAGAGGCTATGTTTAAATTTTATGCTTTAAACAGATTATCACCATAGTTTCATGCCTTAATGTCTAACAGCAACAACATTCTTTTTTCCCCAAAAAAAGGGACTATTATGAACGCATTATAATCAATAATCAAATCTTTATACCACCTATGTTATATTCAGCTGTTATATTAAGAGGTATCACCTGGGTTAATTACATAACACCATGTTAGAATATGCCTAAAATAAGAGGTTTTAATCAACTATGCTGTGGCTTAAACACCACTTTTCAGACATAACTCCGCATTATTTCTGAAGTTTTTAATACATCTTAAAAATATACCAATTAAAATAAATTATTGTTATATATTTCTTTATATCAAAGAAGAATCTTCACATTTACAAAAAGCCAGTCCAGAGGTGTGTCATATTCTACAAGTGAAGAACTTAAAGTAACTGACATTATTTCCAAATAGTTAACTTCTTTCAACATACAGTTTATTGCCTGCTCTTTATTTGTTATGTAGCTCACAGAAAGAAGAACATTTTGTTTCACAAGAATGTCTCTCGACAGAGTGGACATGTGGATTTGTTGCTGGATGAGAACCATTTGTACTGAAAAAGAGAAATACACCTTTTTAATATACGAAGGCAAGCTGAGTACAGAAACACTAGTACATCACCAATAATAACCATTATTTCCAAATAATGTTGTGGACCTAAGGGCAGGTTTAGACTGGACAAAGGAAGAAGTTCTTCACAGAAGTAGTGATTGGGCATTGGATTGGGCTGCCCAGGGAGGTGGTGGAGTCACTGTCCATGGAGATGTTTAAGAAAAGACTGGATGTGGCACTCAGTGTCATAGTCCAGCTGACAAGGTGGTGTTAAGTCATAGGCTGGACTCAATCTCAAATGTCCTTTCTAACCTAGTTAATTTTGTAATTCTGTGAATGTAACTATCAAAACATTACCTATACTTTTCAAAAAAACAAGAAGAAACAGTAAAAAAACCCTTTTCACCCATTCATCTATGCACATATATATATATGTATATATATATATATATATGTATGTATTTGTATATACACCTATAAGACACACACTTAGCAGCTCTTCTTTCATTACCCGTCCTTACATCTTAGTACAAAATCCAGAGAAATAACTTTTGATTGCAGGTAATCCCAGATACTCCAGTGACAAAGTGGAAAATTGCTGGTAATGCAGTAGAAGTTTCTGGTTTAAACTGTATGGATAACCAGGCTGGATGGGGCTTGGACAACCTGGTCTAGCAGAAGATGTCCTTGCCCATGGCAGGGGGATGGAACAAATGAGCTTTAAGGTCCCTTCCACCCCAAACTGCTCTGACTGTAGGGTATTTTGTCTATTTAAAAACATTTACTCCAGGTACTTACCAAGCAAGCTGAATGAAACTTCTTCTTGCATGTTCTGCAAGCTTTTTTGGGAAGAGAATAGTTTGAACCATGAATGACTGAAAAACAGATCATGCAATCTTCAACGCCTTCAAAACGTTTATCCACATTATTTTTCCATAAAGATAAGCCTTCCATAATACTTCCATTCTAACAGAGGGAAAAGAGGTGTTAATACTGTAGAACTCCTTTGAACTATGCCTGTTGTAGTCATAAAAACATGAAGGAAACAAAGCCTGAAGGATTTATAATCTGAAATTACATGCAATACATGCAGTGCATAATTTATAATACTCTGATCTACAGAAAAGTGAGTATTCAACAGTGCAGGAAGAATGTATTCAGGAGCACTTAAAAATGTATTTTGAAATTTTCAGTCACTGCTTTGTTTTGTTCTAACCACAGATGATGCAATTTCAGCAACCATCAGTCTTTTATAGAATTCCATGGAGGGGGTTTTTGCTTTTGATTTTTGTTGTTGTTTGTTTGTGATTTTTTTCAAATTATAGTTAAAATGGTACTGCCATGCAGGACAAACATTGGGCCACATTTTAAGAGATCCAAATTTTCAACTTGGGCTCTGGATTTAACAGGACCTAGTAGGTTGATCACTTTATCTCTGTTTATGTATCTGGAGAAAAGCAGAGGGTAAGAGTGACCCAATTCTACAAAGGTCTTTGCAATCTATTGAGATCTATTACACAGATCTATACAATACTGCATTAAGTAGGAATATTTTTCTGCTATAAGGACTTACTAAGTTTTAAAAACTAGGAGCATTACTGAAATTCACCTGATGTGTAAGATATGTGCTTAACTGTAGCATCCAATTGCGCCACTGCTGCACAGCCACACCAACCCTCTTTCCACTCTCAACTGTTATGGATCCCAGTGGATAATTTGATGGAAGCTGTATTATTAGTTCAATAAAGATATCATCAACAGAATAGGTTGCAATGACTTCTCGTGCTGCAGACCGAGCTTTTACCTTTGAAAAAAATACACATGAAAAAATGCCACTCAGCATCTCCAGTCTTTGTGTGTGTGTATATATATATATATATATATATATATATATATATATACACTTTAAACACTACATATTATTTTCTCAAAGAAAACAAAAATCTACTCATATCTCAGTAAACTAAAAAGGAATTACCAGCCAGTTTTCAATCTACTGATTGATTACATCTTTTAAGCAGCAAAATAGTATATTGATACCAGTTTCCACTTACTTCCTCAAATTCTTCAACATCCCAAAATCCATTATTTCATGTTATTTCCAAGAAGAATATTAATCAATTTAATTCATTGATACCAAGCAAAATTATGTTTAATCAATAATACAGAACAACAAAATTGCAATCATATAAAACAGAACCACAATCTGGTTCTGAGAAGTAAAATTTCCTGAAATGCTTGCAAAAAAACTCAAGGAAATAAAAAGAAAGGACAAAAAGTCTTACTGTCATGCCATTAAATAACTGAGTGCTAGTCTGAACAGAAGATATTTCCTGGGAGGAGAGCACACTGCTGACATATTTGCTTGTGAATTTATCCACAACATTGAAGACACGCTTCTCACAGCTATTCCACCACAGCCTCACCATGGCTGGCAGATCTTTCAGTGTTATGTGGTACACAGAGCAGGCCAAGTGTGGGATCTGGGATGACAGCACCCCTGACCCTGGGAGGGAAATAAAAGGTGTTGAAATATTCTTAATACAATCGTCCTGGATGTTGGTGCCTCCACACCACATACAAATTCCTGATTCCGATAAAATGGTGGTACTTGGAATTTCATGTACATGTTCCTATTATTGCTATTCTAAGGGCTTGTTTGACTCAGCCCTTCTTCACCAGGCTGGTTTTTTTTGTTCCTTAGCCTGATACTCCACACCTCAGAATTCACCTTCTAATTTAGAGACTGAACTCCAAGTGGACACCAGGAATCAACGATAATTTTATATTGTAGAAATCACAAAGGGCTCATTTTGGAGTGAATAAACAATAAGGTGTTTGGAGGACAGCTGAGCTTTGCAGGCATGTAAAGTCCCACCAACAGAGGTTCAGGCTGGATATTAGGAAATAATTCTTTGCTGAGGGAGTGGAGAAGCATTGGAATAGGCTGCCCAGGGAAGTGGTGGAGTCACCATTCCTGGAGGTACTCAAAAAACACGCAGATGGAGCACTCTGTGATGTGGTTTAGGGAACACAGTGGTGTTCAAAGGGTGGACTTGGATGATCCCAGAGCTCTTAATGATTCTATAATGAGATAAGGGAAGACTTTCCCTCGGGATGTCATGTCAGCAAACTTTCTTATGGTCATCCAGATAAATTGTTCTGCAACATACAGTGATATCCAAGCAAAAAAATTAAGAAATGGAAACTCCATTTCCTAGCTTATATCTATGTAGGTACATTAAAAAAATGAAGGGACTTAAAAATCTAATTCTCTTTTTCATGTTTCTCAAGTAAAATAAGCAGCATATCTTCTCTCATCATCACTGATTAACTGGGTCTTCTGAACAGCATGACAAAAAAACCTCACAATTTAACATCTCAAATATTAAAAATATATATATTAAAATGTTTTTTAATATTTTGAATTTATATATTAAAATATTATAAAATATAGAAATTTTATTTAATATTAAAAGATATCTCTAGAAGCAATTGTTCCAGAATAGATCACACATTTCTATTGTTTTGGAAT